GTAAATGTAATAAAAACCCTAACAAGCAAACAAAAAGTTTATTCTGGGCCAAGCATGAGTGAACATGCTGGGGAACACAGATTGAGATTGATGCCCTAAAGTAGCACATTCAGCCCTGGAAGAGGTTACATGAACTTTCATAGTCACACAACCAAAGAACGTTAAAAAAAAAATCAGTATGTTTACCAAATACATCCGTGAGAACATGAGGCCAGCAGTCACAGCAAAGTGGGGAATCTGTGGTAGGTCTCAGATGCTATCTGATGGCGTTCTTTGCTCTGGGGTTGGTGAAAGGTAGTGGTCTGCAGTTAAGGCACTCCGAAGGTTTTGCCTAATGGTCACAAAGATCAGTTACAGAGGCAGGTGATACATGGTTGTCAGGGGGACTCAAGATCACTGGGGTAATTTAGTCTGTAGCATATAGTCTCAAGTTATAGCATTCCACTGTGCCACCATCACGAGTTCAGTCAGTCAGCTGGCCCCCTCAGTGCAGGTGTGACTTTTCACAGAGTTTCAGTGACCACGTCAGCTCATAAGGCATCTGTGGTGTACTGCATGCACATGTATGCTGCTTGCTGGTTGGATGTTTTTTTGTTATTATAATTTGACGTGGGTAGCACACAGATAGATGTCTTCAGCAAGACTGCCCAGCCAGGCATGGTGGCATACCCACAATCCCAGCTAGTTGAGGGACTGAAGTAGGAGGATTTATAGTTCAAGGCTAGCTTAGCAGTATAGCAAGACTCGGTCTCAAAAGCACCCCGCACCCAACAAAAAGACCCTGGCCATCCAGATGGGTCTCAGTGTGTGTTCTATAGAGCGCTCACAGCTGCACCCCCAAAGCGCAGAGCTATTAACGATTCTGAGCAATTAGAGCACTGGGCATTGGAAGAGGAGTTTTGAATCAGTTTTGTGGACTCTTCTTTTTGAGACAAGGTCTTAATTCATAGCCATGTCTGTCCTGGAACTTGCAGTCTTCCAGCCTCTGCCTCCCTAGTACTGAGATGACAGGTGTGGACCAGTTATGTCCAGTTACCTGGGGTGCTATGGTACCCAGGGCTATAACATGTGGTTTCTCCATCCCGTGAGTAGAGGGCACGCTCTTGCAAAAAAGGATTTATAACGAGTTACTTCCTGCCCACTGCAGTCAGTTTGTAGGCAGTTTATTTCCAGCAGCCGTGGTGTGGACTCTGTATGTACTCCGCTTTTTAGCAGGTCACGCTAGGAAGCTGCTGTTGTGCGTGTATGTGGTGGCTGAAAGTTCAATTCTTCTGGGGTTTTTTTGGAGCTAGGTCTCAGCTCTGGCTGGCCTGGAACTCCTCCATTTTGCAAACCAGAAAGTGTCTTGTTAGGCAGCTGTTCCCCAGCCCCCTCCAGTCCCCAGCGTCCAAGTCTGCTTTCAGTTTCTGTGACTCTGGCCATTTAGTAAAAAACAGGCAGGATTTTTCTTGTTCGTGATTGGTGTGACCTCTTAGCACAGTGTCTTCAAGGTATAGCCATGTGTGTGCATATGGTGGGTGAGAAAATCACCCCTCCCCCACCGTGTTTGTGTATTTTGAGGCATGGCCTCATTCTCTAACCCTGGTTGGCTTTAAACTCATTGTATAGCCTATGTTGACCTCCAACTTGGTGGTAATCCTCCTGCCTCAGACTCCCAACTGTTGGTATCACAAGCATGCATTATTGTACCTGGCTTCAGCACTTTCCTTCCTTCCTCCCCACTCCCCCTTCCCGACCCCCCAACAAAGTTTACCGTATATTGTAGGAGCAGGCTGGGCAGTGACCAGAGTGCTACCTGTAACCTGTTTCTCTTTTTTACTGCTGTGTGTCTCCATAGTGATTTATTTTGGGGTGTTCTCTGAGTGGCCCCATGGGCTGCTTTTCCATCCTTTCACTCCTGCACAGGGGAAGGCATGTTTGAGCCAGGCACAGAGATGTTCTTAGGACACCAGCCCCATCTAGTAAAAAGACCATCTAGTAAAAACACTTCCATGCATGTTTGCCACTTGGTCCCAATGTGCTGTTCCAGACCCTGTGGCAAGAGAATGTCATTCTTGTCGATTCACATCGTTTCTGCAGCTGCCTGGGCCTTCAAAGATTAAGCGCACCACGTGTGTGCAATGTCCATGGAGGGCAGACGAGTTCGTCAGATCCCCTGGAACTGGAGTTGGGGATGGTTGTGAGCTGCCATGTGGGTGCTAGGAATCCAACTCAGGTCTTCTGCAAGAGCAGCCAGTGCTCTTAACCACTGAGCCATCTCTCTAGTTTACCAATTTTCAATAGTGTTTATTTGGGACCTGCCAGGTAGATGAGCGTTTAGCTTGTGGGACCTGCTTCTCCACTCCCTGTGCTCCCAACAGCATCTTCATGCTGCTGAAGCTTCTCCGTTGTTATCCTTGTAAACCCAAGTGAACCCCAGTTACCCTGTAAGTTAAGACTGTGTATTCCTAGGACTGGGAGGCAGGCAGCTCATTGGTAGCATGCTTGTCTAGCCTGTGCGATGCCCCGAGAATGTATTTCTCAACCTTATCTGGACCTGCCAAGATCTGGGAGTTTGCATCTCTTGATGCTTTTTTCTTGCCTTGTGAATGATCTGTGCAGGTCATGGGCAGTCACCGGAGTCTGTTTTAGGTAATTGAGGTTGGATTCTTTTCTTTCTTAAGTTAGGGTCTCATGTAGTCCTGGATCCTCCTGCCTTTGCCTCCCAAGTGCTAAGATTACAGGTGTGCACCCCACACCTGATTTATATAGCTCTGGGAATGGAGCCCAGGGCATTGTGAATGCTGGGCAAGCGCTTACCAACTGAGCCACATTCCCAGCCCTAGGTGGACCTTATGTAAATGTGGTAGTCCCAGCCCCTTGCCCCAGGATATGCCCTGGACCCTCAGCCCTTCCTCCTGGCCTAGGGCCCTGCTGCCACCTGCAACTGAAGCCCGGATTCCTGGCTTCCTTTCCCCTTCCTGTCTCTCTTTAGCCCCGCAGTTTGCTGAGAAAGAAAGTTCTGGGTCCCTTCTGGAGTTCGGATTGAATTGCTTTTGGGCATTGTGCACTGTTCAGTGCATGAGTGGAGAAACTCAATTTTATTTATGCCATAAAATCTTCTGACATTCGAAAAGTGTGGGCAGGGCTCGGAGGAAGCTTCCTGCGGGGGCAAATCTGGATGGATCAGACAAGTCCTGGGAGATAGTGGACTAGGAGTGGGAAGATAGCTCACTTCTCCTCTCCTGGGTGTGCCCTGGGGCAAGGGGAGCTGTGCTTACAGGCTCTGACTCTTCAGTGCCTTGTAAATTTCCTCTCATGGGGCTTGACCAACCTTTATTTTGTTTTGTTTTGGTCTTTTTGAGATAGGGTCTCCCTGTATTCCTGGCTGGCCTGGAACTCACCATGTAGACCAGGCTGGCCTCAGTCACAGAGATCTGCTTGCCTCTGCCTCTCGAGTGCTGGGACTAAAGGTGTGTGCCACTCACTGCCTGGCTCAACCAGCCTTTAAAGAGTTGGATGGGGGGCCTGGGAGATGACTCAGTGAATTAGAGGGAATACTGCTCTCACAGAGGACTTGAGTTCAGTTCCCAACCCCCATGCCTGCTGATGCATAACTGCCTGTAACTCCAGCCCCAAGGGATCTGATGCCCTTTTCTGGCCTCTGCTGCCACCTGCACTCATGTGCACGTAGCTGCATACATACACATACACATAATTAAAATAAAGGGGCTGGAGAGATGGCTCAGTGGTTAAGAGCACTTACTGCTCTTCCAGAGGATCTAGGTTCAGTTCCCAGCACTCATGGAGGCTAACATCCATCCTTAACTCCAGTTCCAGGGGATCTAACAACCTCTTTTGGCCTCTGCAGGCACCAGGCACACAGGTGGTACACTTACATACAGGCAGACAAAACACAACACACACAAAATAAAAATAAATGAAATCTTTAGAAAAAAATTGGGGGCTAGAGAGATGGCTGTTCTTGCAGAAGACCCGGGTTCGAATCCTAGCACTCACATGGCAGCTAACAACTATCCGTAACTCCAGTTCCAGGAGATCCGACAGCCTCTTCTGTCTTCCTCGGGCATTGCATGACACTGATGCACTTACCTATATGCAGGCAATACACGCATACACATAAAATTAAAAATAAAATATTTTTCAAAAGAAAAACAATCTTAGCTGGGCATGGTGGCACACGCCTTTAATTCCAGCACTCAAGAGGCAGAGGCAAGTAGATCTCTGAGCTCAAGGCCAGCCTGATCTACATAGTGAGTTCCAGGTCAACTGGGGGGTATAAGGAGCCCCTGTTTCAAAGACCTCCGTGGCATTGCATGACACAGGTATACTCACATACATGCAGGCAATACACTCATACACATAAAATAATAATAAATAAAATATTAAAAACACTATTACTACTACTAATAATAAAACAAAGTCTTAAAAAGTTGGATAGGGAGCCTGGGAGATGGTGCAGTGGGTAAGGATGCTTGCCATCAAGCCTGGGAACCTGGGGACATGGCAGAGCTCCAGCCTGGCCTGGAGAAATAGAGCCCCAGCTGCATCCTGAAGACTGAGCAGAGTCCTCATCCACGTGGTGTGCCTTTTTAGAAGGGTCCCCGTCATGGTGGGTGTGCAAGGTGGGCTCAGCAGGAATTGTCATTTGCCCCCACGCCCTTCATGCTCTCTTAGTTCTGTCTGCACCCCCCCCATAGCTGGGGTTACAGACTTTTGTGGGGATGCCCATCTTGTAATATAGGTGCTGGGATCCGAACTCTAGTCCTCATGATTGGTGCAGCAAGCTCTCTTAACCACGGAGCCACCACCTCTCTAGCCCCCGAGGCTCTAGTCTCTGTGGTGTTCTTTGAGTACTTCCTGTCCAACCCAGTGGGCAGGAGGGTGGAGGGGCCTAGCAGAGCTTCGAGAGGGTGGAGGGGGCTGCGGACTGGGATTCTGCCAGGGGGTCCTGAGCCCTGACTGAGCTCCTTTCCTCCCTCCCTCCCTGCCCTGTCCAGATTGCCTCTTCAAGGTGTGCCCCATGAACCGCTACTCAGCACAGAAGCAGTACTGGAAGGCTAAGCAGACGAAGCAGGACAAAGAGAAGATCGCTGACGTGGTGTTGCTACAGAAGCTGCAGGTGTGTGCGTGCGTGCACCAGGAAGTAGGGGTGCATGCGAGGGGTCATTGGGGGCCCCACAGATAAGCTGAGGATTCTGAAAAGAGACTGCAGTAGAAGGCTAGGAGTGGGGGCGGGCAGGGATTGAAGTGCCCACCTGGTGACCCAGAGTCTGTATATACTCTTTGTGCTAATTACGCGGTGGTCATGGCCATATACCAGGGCACATGGCTCAGCGATTAGATATGGACATGCTGTGCAGTGACTCAGCTTGGTTCCTTGGGCACATGAGTAGTGCTGTGGTACTTCACGGGTGGGTGGCCATAGGCTCCTATGGGCCGGAGCGCAGCTCCCATGTTGGCAGTTTGTTTGGTCAGAGCGCAGACCTGGTCCAGTGCTGTTGCTGACAGTAGGAAGCTTGGACCTGGGTCTTCAGCATGCAGCCTGCCTCTGAACTCTTGCTTCCTTCAGCCCCCTTCCCCTGCACCCCACTACCCTGAGAGGGTGGGACTGAGGGTGGACTGGTGGGTCCTACCCTGTGTCTGTGACCTGACTGGAAAGAGAGGGCTGTCCCAGACTTCCTTTCCCATACATGCTGAGGCTGAGCTGGGAGTATGGCCCAGAGGCAGGGCTCATTCCTGAGCTGGGTACTCAGAGCCACACACTGTAACTACGGAGGGTCGTGTGACATGACATCGTTCCTCAGCAGCACCATGGCCCTGGTTTGATTTACAAGACCTCATGGGTCTGGCGGCAGCACTTAGGGACGGGAAGGGCAGAGGGGCCACTGTGCTCAGAATGTACCAGTCAGTTGGAGGAGGTGTCCTCAGGAAGCTTCTGGACCTGATGGTGCAGCAGTGCTTAAAGAGGTGGCCCTCCGAGGTGACAGGGTACAGTGGGGAGAGGGTGGGGGTATGCACATAACTTTAGGTTCCTGGATGTGTTGGAGGCATGGGCATTCCGGGTCCTCCCAGCAGGTGCTTAGCCAGGGCTGGGTGTGAACTGTAGGTCTGTGTCCCTGTGCTTGGAGGCTCAGGTTGTTGCCTTAATGGCAGGGACACCCCATCCTTGAAGGTCCCTCTGGATGCAGCACTGGAAATTCATGGGGGAGCCAGGGTGAGTGAGAGCGCCTGTGTATACATTGGGGTGTCTCTCTGAAATATCTTCTGAACCCCCTTCCTTGCCCCATGTGTCTGCAGCATGCGGCCCAGATGGAGCAGAAACAAAATGACACGGAGAACAAGAAGGTGCATGGCGACGTGGTGAAGTATGGCAGCGTGATCCAGGTGAGGTCTGTGGGCATCTCCCTCCTGCCAAGAGACCTGGGTACCAGCTTACGCTGCCTCCGAAGTGTGGTGTGTGTGTGTGCGTGTGCGTCTGTGTGTGTGTGTGTGTGTCTGTTTGTCTGTGTGTCTGTGCATCACCAGTGGGTGACTTGGTACCACCCTTTTCACCTGCACATCTGTCTGTGCCCGGGGTCACAAGCACATCACACATCTGGAGCTAGGTTGTCTCAGAGTTTGGCTCTGCCATTCCTTAAGTGGGGTGACCCTGGGGAAACTCCTTAGCTCCCTGGTGCCTCATCTTTTCCTATTTGTAAAAGCAAGCTGGTGAAAGCATTTGACCCTGGGGATTGTTGTGAGATTACACGAGCTAGGGTTGGGGATGTAGTTTCACGGATAGATTGCTAAATTTGCATGTACGAAGCCCTTGGTTTGACTCCTAGTACCACATAAACTGGGCGTTGGGTGCACACCTGTAAATCCAGCACTTGGGAGGCAGAGGCAGGAAGACCAGAAATTCCAGATCATCCTATCCTGGCTGTATAGGTAGATATATAGGATAGCCTGGGCTCCTACATTAGAACCTGTCAAGGGGCTGGAGAGATGGCTCAGGGGTTAGGAGCACTGGCTGCTCTTGAAGAGGACCCCAGTTCAATTCCCAGCACCCATATGGTGGCTAACAACTGTCTGTAATGCCAGCTCCATGGGACTCTGACGCCCTCTTCTGACCTCTGTGGGCATTGCAGGACATGGGTGCACTTGCACACATGCAGGCAATACACGCATACAAAAAATAAAATCAAATTAAAAAAAAATAAAAGCCAAGGGCTGCTCTTGAAGAGGACCCCAGTTCAATTCCCAGCACCCATATGGTGGCTAACAACTGTCTGTAATGCCAGCTCCATGGGACTCTGACGCCCTCTTCTGACCTCTGTGGGCATTGCAGGACATGGGTGCACTTGCACACATGCAGGCAATACACGCATACAAAAAATAAAATCAAATTAAAAAAAAATAAAAGCCAAGCGTGGTGGCACATACCTTTAATCCCAGCACTTAGGAGGCAGAGGCAGGTGGATCTTTGTGAGTTCGAGGCCAGGCTGGTCTACATAGTAGGAAGGTGATCCTTGGCTACATAACAAGTTTCAGGCCAGCCAGGGCTACATGATACCTGATACCCAGTCTAAAAAACAAAAAAACGAGGGGAGAGGCAGAAACTATGGGGACCCCTTTCAAACATCAGATAGTAGACTATCTGTCAAGTGATCACAGACTATTATGTCTTCTGAGCAAGGGGGTTTGTGGGCAAACAATCCTTTCTCAGTCTACAAAGTTGGCTCCCCCACCAGCCCTCCCCTCTTCAGTTTTGTGAACATTTGTTAATTCTGTGGATGTTTTCTGCTCTTTTTTTTAGAAACAGAATCTCACTATTTAGCCCTGGCTAGCCTAGAACTCTCTATGTAGACCAGGCTGGCCTGGAATTCACAGAAATCCGCCTGTCTCTGCCCCCTGAGCGCTGGAATCACAGGTGTGTGCCAATACCCTAAGCAGTTTTTTTGTTTTTTGTTTTTGGTCTTTTTGAGACAGGGTCTCCCTGTAACCCCGGCTGTCCTGGAACCACTATGTAGAACAGGCTGGCCTTGAACTCACAGAGATCTGCCTGCCTCTGCCTCCTGAATGCTGGGATTAAAGGCATGTGCCACCACGCCCAGCTAGCAGTTTTTTAATATTTATTTATTTTTATTTTATGTGTATGAGTGTTTTACCTGCATATATGTAAGTAAATACACCACATGTGTGCAGTGCCCATGGTATCCAGAAGAGGACTTTGGATCTCCTGGAACTGGAGTTAAAGATGGTTGTTAGCCACCATGTGGAATGCTGGGAATTGAACCTGAGTCCTCAGCAAGAGCAGTCAGTGCTCTTAACCAGTGAGCCATCACTCTAGTCCCCCAGTAGTGGATTTTTTTTTTTTAATGGTCTTTTTGAGACAGGGTCTCCCTGTAGCCCTAGCCAGCCTGGAACTCACTGTGTAGACCAGGCTGGCCTTGAACTGAGAGATCCAACTGCCTCTTTTGTTTCTTTATTATGGTGCTGGGATGAAACAGGATCTTGTGCACTCCTGACATGCACTCTCCCACCGAATTACACCTTTGCCTGGCATGAAGTTTTGAAACTAGCTATTTCTCTGTGACAAGATGTGCATGCTTGTGTCCGATTGTGGTTGTGACTGTGTGTATCAGCCTGCGACAGCATGCCTGACAATCTATGTGTCCAAGGGTCCAGTGGTCCGCAGTGCTCTCCTAGCTGAGAGTCTGGACCCCAGGCCTGGTGACCTCACTCCCACCCCACCTGTGCCCAGCTTCTGCACATGAAGAGTAACAAATACTTGACGGTGAACAAGCGGCTTCCAGCCTTGCTGGAGAAAAATGCCATGCGGGTGACGCTGGATGCCACAGGCAACGAGGGCTCCTGGCTTTTCATCCAGCCCTTCTGGAAGCTGCGGAGCAATGGGGACAATGTGAGCAGAGGGCTGGGGCAGGAGGAGCCTGGGCCACACCCCAGAGGGGTTTCTGCTGGGATCCCTTGTGGGGACTGGATGGGGGTCCCATCTCTTTCCCAGAATTAGGACAGAGCAGAGAGGCTGGAGGCTTTCGTTTCTTCCCACTTCATCCTGTCCCGTCTTTCCCGCAAAGGTGGTCGTTGGGGACAAGGTGATTCTGAATCCTGTCAATGCAGGGCAGCCTCTGCATGCTAGCAGTTACGAGCTCAGTGACAATCCCGGCTGCAAGGAGGTGAGGTGCTTGAGGGGGTACCCTGGGGCTGAGGGGCAGCCACAGAGCCCTACTGGTGTGCAGCCCGGTTGCCCAGCTGGGATTTGGCACCGGGGGCTGGGCTGGCTCCCCTTTGTCTGGTCTTATTCTGCCAGCTGTGTCACCAACCTGTCTGCCACCTCCCCCCTCCACAGGTCAACTCTGTGAATTGCAACACCAGCTGGAAGATCAACCTGTTCATGCAATTCCGGGATCACCTTGAGGAGGTGTTGAAGGGGGTAAGGACCAAGCCCAAACCGCCCCCCTTCCTACCGCTCTGCTTCCCAACATCAGGCTGTCTATTCCTACCACTGTCTGGACACTGCACCGCTCGGACCTCCCTCCATCTCCAGAACCCCCTCCCCCGTGTGCTTTGACCACCTCTTCCTCCCCTGGTTGTGAGCTGCAGTTACTTCCCTAGCTCAGGGAGTGTCAGAGTTCTGGGAACCCTGTCCTCCACCTTGGGGTGGCCAGATGTTTTCTTGTTGCTGTTGTTAGTTTTTTTGAGACAGGGTCTCCCTGTAGCCCCAGCTGGCCTGGAACTCACTGTGTAGACCAGGCTGGCCTCCATCTCACAGAGATCCACCTGCCTCTGCCTCTGCCTCCTGAGTGCTGGTATTGAAGGTATGAACACCATACCCAGCCTAGGGTGGCTAGATCTTTGAGCACCCTTCCCTTTCTCCCGATTCTGCGCTGTGGGCCCTACCCTGTGCCCGAAGTGCTCGTTGGCAAGGAGGAAGAGGTTCAGGGTCAATGCCTCCTCCCTACTTGCCATTCAGGGTCAGCACCTATCCTCTGTCCCCAGACAGGCCAGTGTGTTGTACTAGGAGAGGAGAGGGTCTGCCACCTTTGAAAAGAGGTGGGCCTGGGGGGCAGAGAAGCCTGGGAAACTTGCATGAAGTCTGAGGCAGAGGGAGAGAATGTTCAGGAAACCCTGAAAACTAGGTTTCTGGAGCAGGCTGCAGGGGGTACAGGTGGTCTGATAGAGGGGTAGATTTCGGAGCAGCAGAGAGTGTGGGACTCCTCAGCTAGGAGAATAATCTGGGGAGACCTGTGTGGGTACTGGGCACAGAGGCAGCCATTTGAGGCCATCCTGCTCCCTGCCCCTCGATTGCTGAAAAACCCCCTTTGGTGCCCTTTGCCTAAGGCGGTGCTTAGACTTCCTTCCTCCTTCATCCCTCTCATCACCCTGGCTGCTCAAATACATTCTCCCTCTGACCTTTGCATGTTATCTATGCATCAGTCAGAGCCCAGGCTGTGTGCCCCTCTGCAAAACCTCCCTGTGACCCATTCTAGCCTCGTGTCTGGGCAGCAGTTAGAAAATAAAGAAGCCCTTGGGCCCAGCCCTAGTCTGTTCTCACTTCAGCTTCCGGTGAGGACATGACGGTGCCAGGGTTAGAGTCTAGGCAAGCTGGAAACAAGGCTTTCTCATCTGAGTCCACCCTTCTGTTTCTTGCTCTGCATCAGTTTCACACCATGCCTGGGTTCTGCAGCAGGGACTGAAGGACTCCGTGTGTGAATGGTCAGTCACTCGCTCCTGCCTCCGTGGGTGTCCACTGAGCACTGTGTCTAGAGCTGGGTTCAGTGCAGAAGACAGCCTGTGTCATTAGTGATATCCATGGGCTGACCCACAGAGGGCCGAGGGGGAAGGGGGAGGAAGTATGCCCTGGAGCTAAGGAAGGGACATAGATCTCATTTGCTGCTTGCTGTGTCACTCTTGGATGGGACACCTCCTGTCAGTGTGTCTGAGTTAGTGTAGTGTTAACTTCATCAAACACTGTGATCCAATTTCTGCCTGGAAGTCAGAGTTGGCCCCCCACTTTACAGAGGAGGTGACTGAGACTCAGGGACCTTAGAGAACTTATCCCAGCCTCTCATGGCTTGTGATAACAATTAGAAAATAATTAAATCAGGATTCAAGCTCTGATTTTCTGTCTGGAAGTGACTAGGCCATAGCTGCCACCTCAGCTGCTACAGGGAACAAAAGAAATGGCAACCAGGAAGACAGGGCCTAGAAAAGGGCAGCCCTGGCCCAGGAGACTGAGAAACGGAGGTGTCCCTCCTGCCTTCCCAGAGAGGGTGACTGGAGCCGGCCTTCAGAGGTGTCTGGAGGGATCTGCAGGGGTAGGAGGTGCCAGGTGGGTTTGAATACAGGAATGTGGCGTTGAGGGCTGTGCATGACACAGGGCTGTGCTGACCAGGTCTCTGGCTGCCCTGTGGCTTCTGTGACCTCGGACTCCTTCCCCTTTGCTTGCCGTCCTTGGAAAGAGCGAGAGTGGTCCTGCAGGCTGCACCTGAGAGATGGGGCCCTGCACAGGGCTCCTGAGCCTGATGCTGTGGCTGTGGCCATCTGACTCTGTCCCTTGACCCCAACCCCAGGGAGATGTGGTGCGGCTCTTCCACGCAGAACAGGAGAAGTTCCTGACTTGTGATGAGTACAAGGGCAAACTGCAGGTCTTCCTGCGCACCACACTGCGCCAGTCGGCCACCTCAGCCACCAGCTCCAACGCACTCTGGGAGGTGGAGGTCAGAGTCTTACACCCTGGATTCCACCTCCCCCCGACCCCCAGTACCCAGGAAGATGGAGTGACGGTCCTGCCCTGCCCCTGAACCCCTCTATAGCCAAGAGGCTGGGGGGGCCCAGGTTCTCACAGGTCTCCTGGCTTCCCTGGGTCTGGGCTTTCCTAGTTCTGGTCGCTCCTTCCTACCTCACCCCCATGTGCCCCCAGGTGGTCCACCATGATCCTTGCCGAGGAGGAGCTGGCCACTGGAATGGTCTATACCGCTTTAAGCACCTGGCCACAGGCAACTATCTGGCTGCTGAGGTGAGCGGGGAGTAGAGGATGTGTGCACGATCTGGTGTATATGCTATTCCATGTGTGCTGGTGATGCTGGGCTGGTGTGCGTGCATGCCTGTGTGTAGAGGGGCCATGCAGCACTCCCCTGACAGCTCTCCTGGGAGTCACATGAGCTTTGGGGCTGGGGTAGGCACCCTGGGAGTGATCCTGTGTTGGGGTGGGGTTTGTGGGTGTAGCTTGGTCCCTAGCAACTCCCTGACGTTGTGTTTGTATCCAGGAAAACCCAAGCTACAAAGGTGATGTTGCAGACCCCAAGGCAGCAGGATTGGTGAGAAAAAACAACACGCCCACCCTGGTGGTAGAGGGGAGTCAAGGAGGGAAAGGGAGACTGAGGAGTCTGGGGAATAGGTGGACTCGGGAGAAGGGAGAAGGGGGTCTTGCCTGACCTGGGGTCCTCATCTGTTCCAGGGGGCCCAGAGTCGTGTAGGCCGCAGGAACGCAGGGGACAAGATCAAGTACCGTCTCGTGGCCGTGCCCCATGGCAATGACATTGCCTCTCTCTTTGAGCTGGACCCCACAACACTGCAGAAAACCGACTCCTTTGTGCCCCGGTGGGTGTGAACCATGTGTCTGGGGGCTGACCTGGACCATCCTGTCTCAGGGACTCTCTTAGCCTCCCATCCTTTGTCCTGAGGTCCTTTGGTCTCTGAAGCCCCTTGGAGATGCAGCTCTGAGACCTGTCGGCAGCTGGCTTGTGTGTGCACACGGCTGTGTGCTGCACCTGGGTGCTGCCCTGTGCTTATGTGTTGTGTTGCTTCTTGGCTGCCAGCCTGGTCCAGTCCACCCCAGGCACAGGGTGTCCAAGAGTTTGCAGCCCAGCAGCGTGGGGAACCCAGACTTTGATTAGGGAGGTTGGGCTCCAATTCCTGTAAGGTCTGGCTAACTCTGAGAACGTAGTACATCACATCTAGAAATTTCCCGAGGCTAGGGATGCAGCTCAGTTGGTAGATGCTTGTCTAACATGCACGAAGCCCTGGGTTCAGTCTCTAGTCACACATAAACCAGGGGAGGTGTCTCATGCCTATAATCCCAGCACTTAGGAGACTGAGACAGGAGGATCAGGAGTTCAAGCTCAAGGTCATCATCATCTATGTTGTAATGAATTTGAACCCAGCCTGTGCTGCTTGAGATCTTGTCCCAAAAATTAAGTAAATAAATAAATAAATAGGGACTGGAGAGTTGGTTCAGTGGTTAAAAGCACTGGCTGCTCTTGTAGAGAACCCAGGGTCAGTTCCCAGCACCCACATGGTGGCTAACAACTGTCTGTAACCCCAGTTCCAGGGGAATCTGATGCCCTCTTCTGACTTTCACAGGCACTGCATGCATGTGGTATATAGATATACATATAGGTAAAACACTCATACACATAAAACAAAAACCAGGTAATTAAGCTGGGCGTGGTAGCACATGCCTTTAATCCCAGCACTTGGGAGGCAGAGGCAGGAAGATCTCTGTGTGAGTTCAAGGCCATCCTGGTCTACATAGTGAGTTCCAGGCCAGCTGGGGCTACTGGGAGACCCTGTCTCAAAAAGACCAAAAAAAAAAGAGAGAAAGAAAGAACCCCCCCCTGCAAAAACCAGGAAATTAAAACTGTTTAAATTAAGATAAATAAGTACATAAAAGGACGTATCCTGGGAGCTGTCTGCACCCCCCTTACCTCTTCTGTCTTCCTTCAGGAACTCGTATGTGCGGCTGCGGCACCTCTGTACCAACACCTGGATCCAGAGCACTAATGTGCCTATTGACGTAGAAGAGGAGCGGCCTATCCGGCTTATGGTGTGGGCCCTGTGCATGGGGCTGGGGCCTGGGCCTGGGCTGGAGCTTGTCTCCTGTGCCCTACTGACCCTTGTCTCTACAGCTGGGCACCTGCCCCACCAAGGAAGACAAGGAGGCCTTTGCCATTGTGTCGGTGCCTGTGTCTGAGATCCGAGATCTGGACTTTGCCAATGATGCAAGCACTATGCTGGCCAGCACTGTGGAGAAGCTCAATGAGGGTTTCATCAGCCAGAATGACCGCAGGTGGGCCACAGGGGGCAACATGGGATTGTGGGAGACAGTGGTGGAGCAGCATGGGGCTGTGGAGGGCAATGAGGTGGGAGCATGGGGCTGTGGGGCAGCATGGGGCTGTGGGAGCCACTGGGCGGGCAGCTGAGCTGCTCTCTGGGGTCATGGACAAAAGAGTTGCAAACCAGAAACCAGGTAGATGAGGTGAGGTTGAGGACAGAGGCGGGGCTATTGTTGGGTCTCTGGAGTTGGAAGCCAGCCAAGCTGCTCAAACCCTCCCAGAATGACCCTATGATGGAAGCCCAGGGGCTCAGAGGAGTTAGGGGGACATGCTCAGGGTCACACAGCTGTAAGGGGTAGCCAGATGTGATGTAGACCCCTTCATGCCAGACACATTCCCCTCGCCCTGCAGCCTTTTTCAGACTACAGTGTTCTGAGCTTCAGAGTCTTGGGGCAGTTTGGGGTCCAGGGTGGGTCTGTGGGATGTTTTCTGAGAGCAGTTTGATATAGAGCCAGAGAGGGAGGGACTGATGATGGGCTTGGTGCTGGGGACAGCTGGGCTGGTGATTGACTCTGAGGGCTGAGCTTTGGAAGGGCTGTTTGCCTGTGGGGGCCATGCTGAGTGGGCCCTCGGGAAGCTGTCCAGGCCCAGCACATCACACTTGTCATCTCTGGTGTTCCCTCCTCCAGGTTTGTCATCCAGCTGCTGGAGGACCTGGTGTTTTTTGTCAGTGATGTTACCAACAACGGGCAGAACGTTCTGGACATCATGGTCTCCAAGCCCAACCGGGAGCGACAGAAGCTGATGCGGGAGCAGAACATCCTCAAGCAGGTGCTTGTGCTCCAGAGCCCACATTTCTCATTGCTGGAATACTGAAAGGGGCCATGGTGGAGCCTAGACTGCCCCAGTAAGGGGCTGGGGTGTGGCTCAGTGGTGGAGCCCCTGCCTAGAAAGCCCCAGTGAGGGGCTGGGGTGTGGCTCAGTGGTGGAGCCCCTGCCTAGAATGCCCCAGTGAGGGGCTGGTATATGGCTCAGTGGTAGAACCCCTACCTAGAATCCCCCAGTGAGGGGCTGGGGTGTGGCTCAGTGGTGGAGCCCCTGCCTAGAATCCCCCAGTGAGAGGCTCTGTGAGTTTGAGGCCAGCTTGGTCTACATAACAAGTTCCAGGCCAGCCAGGGATACATAGTGAGACCCTGTCTCAAAAACCAAACAAAAACTGGGTATGGTAGCTTGAACTTGGATATGGGAGGATTCCTGGGGCTTGCTGGCTACCCAGACTAGCATAGTGGGTGAGCTCCAGGCTAATGGAGAGACCCTGCCTTGGATAAAGTGGACGGTGTGCCTGAGGATGACAGCTAAGATATGTCATGAACTTGCACATACGCACACATAAGCGCGCGCGCGCACACACACACACACACACACACACACACACACAGGTAGGCTGAGGCATGTTGGGATTCTGGCTGGGCATAGGGTGGTCAGTGTGAGATTGGGACAATGGCAAGTGGGCTGGGGTCGTGGTCCAGCTGAGCATATCAGCTCTGGAAGCTTGGGGTGGAGTCAGTCAGGGCTGGGGATTGGGGGTTGGTGAGGGGTGCAGGCAGGATGGAAGGAGCCCCTCTTCCTCTTTGCATCCCTCAGATTTTTGGCATCCTGAAGGCTCCATTCCGTGACAAGGGGGGCGAGGGCCCGCTGGTGCGGCTGGAGGAGCTGTCGGACCAGAAAAATGCCCCCTACCAGCACATGTTCCGCCTGTGCTACCGTGTGCTACGGCACTCGCAGGACGATTACCGTAAGAACCAGGTGAGTGCTGGCGTGGCTCCTGCTGGGCACAGGCTCCTGGCTTGGCTCCTCAGCAGGTGTTTCTCTGGAGCCAAGCACTGTTAGGCACTGGGTAACAGGAGGGCATGGGGTTGTCGGGGCTGGATTCTTGAGTGCACGCCTGGCCTGGGCTCAGTGCTCTGTTGTTCCATCTAGAATTTCATCATTTATTTTTGGATTTTAACATTTTATGTGTCTAAGTGTTTTATCTGCGTGTATATAAGTACACCTGTGTCATGCAATGCTCACAGAGGCCAGAAGAGGGCATCGGATCCCCCTGGAACTGGAGTTATGTATAGCTGCCATGTGGGTGCTGGAAACTGCACCTGGGTCCTCTGCAAGAGCAGCCGGTGCTCTGATCTGCTGAGCCACCTCTCCAGCCCACAAATTCATCATGTTTGAACAAAGGTTCCACTATCATTTCGTAGTCAGTTTTGTCACACAGACAAGGCCCAGCTCTGGTGGGGGTCACAGAGCTCAAGCCTGGTAATCACATACTCTAAAGCCACCCGTCTGTTTGGGCGGCTTCTTCAAAGCTGCATTTGCTGAAATGCACTGTGTCCTCCCTTGGGCCCGCAAGGTAACTGATGGGAGTCTGGCCTGGCTGCCTTCACTTTGGCTGAGACACCGCTGTGATCCACCAAAGTTGTGCAACTGGAGTTTCTAGGATAAAAGCTAAAAAGTTAGGCTCTGTCAGCCCTAACAGATCTAGGCTCAACTACCCATTCTGTTACGTCAATTAAACAGATTAGCCATGGTGAAAGCAGAAAGAGATTTATTCAATGTGGCCTCATTGGGAAGAGAGAGTGATAAAGGGACTCACAGTGATCCCCAAGTCTGTCTTTGGTTATTGATCTGAACTTTAGGTTTAAATAGAGGAACTGGGGCAAGGGCAAGAGGTAAAGCAGCCCAGGTCACAGTGTGGCCCTGCCCAGTATCTTGGCTCACATCTTGCAATAAACTGCTCATTACTGGAGAGGACCAATTGCCGTCTAGATAATTGCTGTCATCTGGGGGTGATCTGTCCTGTGGGCTAGCTGGGGACCATTTCACTCCCTTGTCACAAAGATGTTTATAGATCAGCCCTTTTGTTTCTGGAATCAAGGGCAGCTCCAGAGGAAAAACTACATGCAATTTACCTCTGGGCCCTCCTGTTTCTTGCTATTTTATTTTTAATATGTATGAGCGTTTTCTTCACATGTACCTAAGTTCATCCAGTGTGTGCAATACCCAGAGAGGCCAGGAGAGGGCACCAGATCGCCAGAACTGGAGTCATGGACAGCTCTTAGCTGCCTTGTGGGTTCTGGGAACCAAACCTGGGTCCTCTGAAAGAGCAGTCAGTACTCTTAACCTCTGAGCCATCTCTCCAGGCCTGCCCCTCTCCCTGCTTTTAAAGATTTATTCTTATTTTTATTTATGTGTATATGTATGTGTGTCTGTGAATGCATGTCACATGTATGTGGATGCCTGTAGAGGCCAAAAGGTGTTTGATTCCCTGGAGCTGGAGTTACAGGTATTGATGAGCTTCCCAGTGTGGGTGTTGGGAACCAAACTCATTGTTGTCTGGAACAAAAATAAGTGTTCTTAACTGCTGAGCCGCTGATTCCCTGGAGCTGGAGTTACAGGTATTGATGAGCTTCCCAGTGTGGGTGCTGGGAACCAAACTCATTGTCGTCTGGAACAAAAATAAGTGTTCTTAACTGCTGAGCCATCTCCCCAGCCCCTGTGCCTTCATTCTTGAATGCAGAGGCAAGCAGGAGTCTGAGTCCTTTGAGTGAAGGAGACAGATTTAGGCTGGCTGGAGATATGGTTGAGTACTTACTTAGTATACATGAACTCCTGGGTTCAATCCCCAGCACTGCATAAGTCAGGCCTGGTGGTGCATGCCTGTAATCCCAGCACTCCAGAGGTGGAAGCAGGAGGATCAGAAGTTCAAGGTCATCTTTAAAAATATATATATTTATTATTTTTGATATATTATTATTTTTTATGTGTATGAGTGTATTGCCTGCATGTAGGTAAGTGCACCTGTCATACAATGCCCGCGGAGGACAGAAGAGGCCATCTGATCCCCTGGAACTGGAGTTACAGAGAGTTGTTAGCTGCCATGTGGGTGCTGGGATTTGAACCCGGGTCTCCTGCAAGAAGTTCTTAACCGATGAGCCATCTCTCCAGCCCCTCAAGGTCATCTTTATATAGGACACAGACAAGGAAGGAAAGCACAGGAGCCAAACTTCATCCTGCATAGTTACCACTGGTCTCCTATACTGGTCCCCATCTTGGGGTCTGGGGCAGGGCTCTGCAGCAGAGCAGGTCTTGTCAATGGCCCCTATTACCCTCCACCTCTCTGCCCCCAGGAGCACATCGCTAAGCAGTTTGGGATGATGCAATCTCAGATTGGTTACGACATCCTGGCTGAGGACACCATCACTGCCCTGCTTCACAATAACCGCAAGCTGCTGGAGAAGCACATTACCAAGACAGAGGTGGAGACCTTCGTCAGCCTCGTGCGCAAGAACCGAGAGCCCAGGTGCCCAAAGTGCACCCTGCCCATGCTGCTCCTTCCCACCACCACTGGTTGTTAACCTGTTGGAATACCCTGCACTGTGTGTGTGCCACCTCCCCAGCACCTCCAGAATTTGGCCCAATCTAGCTACAAAAGGTGCAAGTCCCATTACAGCTGGAGACCCCCAAGCCCTCCGGTGACTGAGTCAGTACCTGTCTGAACCAGTTATTGAATATTTTGAATATCCATCTTACCCTGTGCCTGCCCCGACCTCTGACCCCCAAGAAAGGCAGCTGGGAAAGAGTGTGGGTTAGGCTTGCAACCTGTACAGCAGCCTCTGAGTCCCTGGCTGTGTCCGTACTGCCCCACCCAGGTTCCTGGACTACCTCTCTGACCTGTGTGTATCCAATCACATTGCCATCCCTGTCACCCAGGAGCTCATTTGCAAGTGTGTGCTGGACCCCAAGAACAGCGACATTCTCATCCAGACTGAGTGAGTGACAGCAGCCCAGTGGCCTTAAAGGGCTTAGCCCTCCGGAATTCAGGCTAGTGCTGGCCCCCTTGTTCTTTGTAGATAGGAGTCTAATGCCTATGCTGCCTGGCACTGTGTGTGTATGTGTTTGTGTGTGTGTGTGTGTGTGTGAGAGAGAGAGAGAGAGAGAGAGAGAGAGAGAGAGAGAGAGAGAGAGAGAGAGAGAGAGAGAGAGAGAGAGAGAGAGAGAGAGAGAGAGAGAGAGAGAGAGAGAGAGAGAGAGAGAGAGAGAGAGAGAGAGAGAGAGAGAGAGAGAGAGAGAGAGAGAGAGAGAGAGAGAGAGAGAGAATGAGAATGAGAATGGGGGCGGCCAAGAGGGGAACGAGGCATGGCCCTGCCCTGAGATGCTCTGGCTTACACTCCACACAGAGGCCATGTCAGGGTTGTGACCAGCCTATCTGGAGTTCCCCATCCCTAACTGGATCAGGGCTCTGAGTGGCTGGCGGCACCCCCCATGACAGAGCTGTCTTCTGCAGGCTGCGGCCAGTGAAGGAGATGGCCCAGTCTCACGAGTACCTCAGCATCGAATACTCAGAAGAGGAAGTGTGGCTCACGTGGACTGACAGAAATAACGAACATCATGAGAAGAGCGTGAGGCAGCTGGCCCAGGAGGCGCGGGCAGGCAATGCCCATGATGAGAATGTGCTCAGCTACTACAGGTGCCCAGCCCTGTCCTGAGCTCCAGCGGCTCTGTGGGAATCAATGTCCCTGCCCTGCAACCCTGCAGGAAGCTTTCCTCTATATTCCCATGGTGGTCAGGCTCTTAAGAAACCTGCCCTGTGTCCAGACATGACTTAAATGTTTTTGTTAATTTAGTGATTACATTTATTTGTGTGTTTAGGGATTTTTGCATGGAGGTCAGAGGACAACTTGCAAAGTTGGTTTTCTCCTACCACATGGGTCCTGGGGATTGAATTCAGGTCTCCAAGCTTGGCAGCAAACACCTTTTATCCACAGAGCTATCTGGCCAACTCTTTTCTTTTTAAGATTTATTTTTTTTATGTCTGAGTGTTTTCTTGCGTGTATATAAGTGTTATGTGCTTACTGTGATCCCCTGGAACAGAAGTCACAGACTGTTGTGAGCTGCCATGTGGCTGCTGGGAAAAGAACCCAGGCCATCTGCATGAGCACCAAGTGTTCTTAACCACTGAACCACCTCTCCAGCCCTTATTATTTGAGATAGGGTCTCACTATGTAGACCAGGCTGACCACCTGCCTCGGCCTTCCAAGAACTGGAATTACGGGTGTGAGCCCAGGCTTGTTTTAGAGAATGTGGGCAGAAGGCTCTGCTAACCACATGCTGTACTCCAGGCACTGTTGGGAGTCCCTCACCCCATCACTTACTCAGACCTCACAGCACCCCTAGGAAGTCGATCTTACTGTTTCCCCTTATAAAATTGGGAAATAGAAGCACAGAGAGGTGAGGAACTTGCTTGAGGTTATACAGCCATAAATGGTTATTCACAGTTCACATGCAAGGTGGCCTGGCTCCAGGGCCCCGAGTGTTAATGAGGTTTGCAGAGGAGACAGAGGGTGTAATGTCACCCAGTGCAGAGCAAAGCCTCTGTAATCTCCCATCTAAGTCGCACACCTTTCACCAGCCAGTTCTTCCCACTCTCTTTCTCCAAGCCACCCGCTTCCTGTAAGGACCTGTCCTGGCTGAACCAGAAAATGTCTTCCCTCTGTCACCAGGACTGGGGGACTCCCAGATGCCCATCCTCTCAGATGGGCTCCCCTCTGCTGTTAGGCCATCTTCTAGTGTGGTTCTCCATTGCTGTGACAAAACACTGACCAATGCCAACTTGTGGAGGAAAGGGTTTATTTGGCTTACATCTCCCAGGTCACAGCTCGTCAGGGAGCCCAAGTAGGAACTCGGGGAAGGAACCTGGAGGCAGGAGCTAGAACAGGCCATGGAGGAACACTGCTTACTGGCTTGCTCCCCTGGCCCCTGCTCAATCTGCTTTCTTATACAACACCTGCCTAGGGGTGGCACCACCCACCGTGGGCTGGGCCCTCCCACATCACTCAGTAATCAAGAAGATGCCCCACAGACATGACAGGCCAGTCCAATGGAGGCAATTCCCCAGTTGAGGCAGCCTCAACCCAGATGTGTCAAGTTGACACTAAAGCTATCCAGCACAGGCCATGTCCTGCCTGTGAAACCCTGGCCCTCTGTCATTTCCTGAAGTCCTCACTCAGGCCCGGCCCGGCCAATTGCCTGGCAGCCCCAACTGTTGTGCCCTGTCCCACCTCCCCCCTGCAGATACCAGCTGAAGCTATTTGCCCGCATGTGTCTGGACCGCCAGTACCTGGCCATTGACGAGATCTCCCAGCAGCTGGGTGTGGACCTGCTTTTCCTGTGCATGGCTGATGAGATGCTGCCCTTCGACCTCCGGGCCTCCTTCTGCCACCTGATGCTGCATGTGCACGTTGACCGCGACCCCCAGGAGCTGGTGACACCCGTCAAGTTCGCCCGTCTCTGGACAGAGATCCCCACCGCCATCACCATCAAGGAGTGAGAGGCTGGAGGGTGGGGTGCCAGCCAGGGGGAGGCGCATGGTGGAGCAGGACATGGGGACCCTTCCGCCTCATGCCTCCATCCTCAGCTATGATTCCAACCTCAACGCCTCCCGAGATGACAAGAAGAATAAGTTTGCGAGCACCATGGAGTTCGTGGAGGATTACCTCAACAACGTGGTCAGCGAGGCGGTGCCCTTTGCCAATGAGGAGAAGAACAAGCTCACCTTTGAGGTGGACTGGGGATGCTTGGGCTTGGGGGTAGTAGGGCTACTACCCCCTAGGTCTCGTGATCCTAACCAGTACCAGGGAATTACACAGGTGGCTGGGGCTCCCCAGTGGATAGCTCCTCTTCAGTGCCTGGCCCCAGTGCACTCACCCCATCAGCTGGGGCCCATCCTTCCCACATCTTGCCCTCATGTGAACCCCGTCCTCAGGACACCTCTTCACCCTGATTTTCTCTGTCCTGTCTGGGCCCCCACAGAACCTTATCTTCCTCATGGACCCTCTCACTACACAAAGCCACTGAACCCCTGGAACAAGGGTCTCACCTCCACCAAGCCACACCTCTGTATGTGTTGGCCCTGCTCCCTCTAAACCATGCCCCACGTGCACCAGCCACACCCCCAGCCACGCCCACCCACGCCTGTGTGCATCGGCTTCTTCTCACTCCAAGGCCACACCCCTGTCTGCCTTAGCCCCTCTAAGCCACACCTCTGCATGCACCAGCCCCGCCCACGCTCACGTGCCCTGCCCCCTCCACAGGTGGTCAGCCTGGCGCACAATCTCATCTACTTCGGCTTCTACAGCTTCAGCGAGCTGCTGCGGCTCACTCGCACGCTGCTGGGCATCATCGACTGCGTGCAGGCGCCCCCGGCCATGCTGCAGGCTTATGAGGAGTCTGGTGGTGAGGCTTGGCCCTCTGGCTCCTCAGCTCCTTCCCTGTACCCTCTGCGACTTGCTTCCTGGCCCTGCCACCAGGGGGCCTCTTGGGCCCCAGTCCCCTCTATCCTGGGCGGGGACCTAAGGCCCTGTGAAGGCCCTGGGTCTGACTTGGTCTTGGAGCGAGTGGGAGACAGAGCATTCCCATAGAGAAGAGAATTTGCTCATGTTCCCACATCACTCATTTTTACCTTGGCTCTTTCTTTCCCCAAACTTGGCTTTTGGCTTAAAGCTCCCGACCCCCAGCCAGCCTTCCTGGGTTAGTCCTGTTCCTTCCTTAGCCGTTGGCCTGCAGTTGTCAATCTGCCTCACTCATCACACTTGAGAGCTGGGCTATGGCCCCTCCGGTGACCCCTTTCTGTGACCCACAGGCAAGAACGTGCGGCGGTCCATCCAGGGTGTGGGCCACATGATGTCCACCATGGTGCTGAGCCGCAAGCAGTCTGTCTTTGGTGCGCCCAGCCTGCCTGCTGGCGCGGGTGCCCCTGAGCCGCTGGACAGGAGCAAGTTCGAGGATAATGAAGACATAGTGGTGATGGAGACCAAACTGAAGATCCTGGAGATCCTGCAGGTCGGTGGGCAGGCCCGTGGGAGGTGCCAGAGAGAAGCAGGTCTGGGGAACAGGGCAGGGTGAAGCCTTGCATCTGTGTTCAAGGTCACAGGGTTCCACAGGATGAGTGTATGGGCCAGTGGTCCTTGGACCCCAGGCATTAACTGGGGACTCCAGCCCCCCTCAGATCTGTGTTCTGAGTCAGACCCTGAGAGGGGCTGACAGGATCCTTGGTCACCAGAGGGCATGAGAGTAACAGCGTGGCCTCCACAGGTGACAGGAGAGTCGGGGTGGCTCTGCTGACTCATTCTGGGTGCTGGGGCTGCCATGTCTATGTCCTGGTGGGCGAGGGGTGGCTGTGTGCTCCATGGGCCTTGTGCCCCATGAAGAGAGAGGCTAGTCCTAGGTGTCTGCAAACCCTGGAGCTTTGGTATCTCAATTCCCTGTCCCTGAGAGGGTTGTTGGCAGAGCAGCTGGGAGAATGGGTTGACCTGGGGGGGGGTGCCAAGCTGCTGACAGGAAGGGGGCAGTCACTGTTGTAGGCTGAGTGGAGGCACCAGGAGCTGGGCGTACCCCAGGAGAGAGGACTTGGACTGTTCTATTGTGACACCTCAGAGCATCCCAAATGTTAGAGTACTAGAGCCCATCAGGGGGGTCCCCTCACCCCTATTGGAGCAGCAGGCCTCCTAATGGAGAGTGGGCCTCATACTGTCCCTATCCATCTGCAGTTCATCCTCAACGTGCGCCTGGACTATCGCATCTCCTACCTGCTGTCGGTCTTCAAGAAGGAGTTTGTGGAGGTGTTCCCCATGCAGGACAGTGGGGCAGACGGCACAGCTCCTGCCTTCGACTCTACCAGTGAGTCTCACTTCCTGCCTGCGGCCTCCCATGGCCTGTAGGTGGGGACCTAGGGATACCTCAGGGCTGGCTCCCCACCCTCTCCCGTTCCAGCCACCAAATGCCTTTGCGTTGTCCTGGTTCCTTTGATTGCCACAGTGAGGGGAAGAGCAGGAACCTATCTCTTTTTAAGTGGGGAAACTGAGGCCCAAGGGGGGCTAGGACTTGACCAAGGTCACATTCCCTCAGAGACTGACCAGGACCTGGGTGTCCAGCTACTCTACTGTTCTCAGCCTCTCTGAACCTTCACAAGAAGAGGGAAAGGCAGGGGGCTGCAGGAGCAGGCAGCAGGCTGGTTCGGGCATTCCTCTGTGACTGCGCTTCTAGCTTCCCCATCTGTCTTCGGAATGGACGTACCTTGTGTCTCATCTATCCCTCTTGCTTCCCACAGCTGCCAATATGAATCTGGACCGCATTGGAGAGCAAGCAGAGGCCATGTTTGGAGTGGGGTGAGGCTGGGGTTGAGGTGGGGTCAGGTTCAGGATTGGGGTGGGATGTTAACACAGGGCTTGATATCAGCTCTTCCAGGACGGCCTGGGTTTCCTGAGGCTGGGGGCTAGCCATTCCCTCCACTGTGTCCCCCTGAAGACCCTCCCCAGCTATATGCTCTGACCCTCCCTGCTGCCCAACCCTCATGGTCTAGGATTCATTTGGGTCCTGGTCATTCTGGTAACTTCTCTGCCTTCACTCAGGGCAGCTGTGCCTCTGTGTGAAGTAGAGTTCAGGTCAGGTAGCCTGGAGAATGTTCCCCTGTCCCACAGCAGGGAGAGATGGGAGGGGGTTGTATGATGCCCCTCGCCACACCCAGGCTGGGGTAGAGGAGTCATACAGAGCCCCTGCCGTTTAGTGCCCAGCCTTCCTTGGCATCTAGCTCAGCCCGCAGATCCCTTCTCAGAACTCTGTTTTAACAAATTCATAAAATATGGGCTGGGGATGTAGCTCAGTTGGTAGAGTACTTGTCTAGCATGCTTGAGACCCTGGTTTTGATCCCCAGCACCCCATGAACCAGGCATGATGTTGTAAACCCAGCATTCAGGAGGCAGAGGCAGGAGGATCAGAAATTCAAGGTCATCCTTCACTACATAGTGAGTTCAAGGCCAGATCCTGTCTCAAAAGAATCCAGTAGCATAGATTCATAAAGTAAAGCACACAGATTTACAGGAGAAGCAGTGCATTAAAATACAGTTATCAAAGTATCGAAGAAAGCAAATTGGAAGTGACAGCCGTGAGTGGGCTTTTTATTAGCACGTTAAATGGTGGCCGCACGGGTGGCTGTAATTAGTGTGGGGACGCTAGCTAGTGGTGAATGTAAATGATATTTCCATCAACAACTCTGAGGTGCTGTGAAAACATCTGTGGTTCTTACTGGTGACAACCCCACCAGGCTCCACTCATTTTTCCTCATTGAAGGAAATGCGGTTTTTAGAGATTAGGAAGGATAAAGAGGTGACTGTGTATGTGTGTCGGGGGGAGCTGTGGATCCCACACAGAAAATTCCTGCATCAGGGACTTGATTGAGAGGGGAATGAGGGTCCTTTGAGGGGCCCGGTGCAGTGGCTGCACATGGGTGGGAAAAGGTGGATGCTTGTAGCACCCTCGGCCTGCTTTTTCTACCCTGGTGGCAGAGAAAGCTCGGCCCTGGCCCAGCTACTCCCGCATATGCCTGTGCCTTCACCCATCCGCTCCTACCCATGCCTGTCTGTGCCCGCAGGAAGACCAGCAGCATGCTGGAGGTGGATGACGAGGGCGGCCGCATGTTCCTGCGTGTGCTGCTGCACCTGACCATGCACGACTACCCGCCACTCGTCTCTGGAGCCCTGCAGCTTCTCTTCAAGCACTTTAGCCAGCGCCAAGAGGCCATGCACACCTTCAAGCAGGTGAAAGGGGCTGCCCGTCCGGCCCGGGCCTTAGGCCTGCTTGGGCACTGGTGCAAATGGGGATCTGGCTGCTTACAGCTCAGCAGGGATATTGGGGCCCACCTTAGGGCTTTCAGCCTTGCTGGACCCCTTCTGGGGGAAGATCCAGTCTTGGCATCCCATGGCTCCTCCTTCCCTGACTCATTTCTTTTGCTATGGATGGCACTCAAGAGTGTGTAACCTGTGTTGAGCATTGCAACATTCCAAATTGAGCCTGGCTCACAGGCAGCCCTCGCCCAGCTGTCCAGTGTCTGTCACTGTGATGTCATGTCCCCTTGACAGCGCCCTGTGAGATGCAACATGTTTGGGGCTGGCATTTAGCAAGTGCCCATGATGTACCAGGCCCTGTGAACCAGGCTTGCATCCAACACTCTGAGTACACAGCACCCCTCTCAATCCTCTGTGAGAGAAGACATTGAGGCACAGTCCCAAAGTGAGGGAGGTGGGACCACATGTGAACCCTAGTCTTCAGAGTCTGGCTCCAATCTTCAGAGTCCCAGCCAGTCCAGGGTTCAGTGACCCTACCCCACCCCATGGTACTTTTCCCTGCCTGCCTGGCATTTGAGTGAGTCAGTGACAGGCCACAGCAGCATGTGACGTAAATCTAAATAACTGCAGCCAGACAACATGTCAGCTCAGGAGAGGGAGGCCTGTGGCATCAGGGAGGGCTTCCTGTAGGAGGGGGGCTACTGAGGGACAGGTGGAGGTGGAGTGGTACTGTAGGGGGTTTCCTGGCCTAGGAAAGAAAATGGAACTCTTTCTGTGTGGAGGGGTGCATGCCCCATGAGCCAGGCCCACCCTCTTTGTGCAGGTCCAGCTGCTGATCTCGGCCCAGGACGTAGAGAACTACAAGGTGATCAAGTCGGAACTAGACCGGCTGAGGACGATGGTGGAGAAGTCGGAGCTCTGGGTGGACAAGAAGGGCAGCAGCAAGGGCGAGGAGGGGGAGGGGGGCACTGCCAAGGAGAAGAAGGAGGTAAGTCAGTTTCTGGGAGCTAGACGGGGTACCCCAAAAAGAGGGGACTGGCCGACCCCATTCTCTGTGTACCCAGCGGCCCTCGGATGAGGAGGGATTTCTGCCGTCACCTGGGGAGAAGAGCAGTGAGAACTATCAGATTGTCAAGGGCGTGAGTTGGGGGGTAGTGGGGAGTGGGGGTGGGGTGGAGATGGTGGGGGTGGTCCTCTGCAACTGGCTCAGATCTGCCTGTTCCTGGGACTCGTATCAGCCTGGCCTCTCCCAACTCTCCCCTCTGGGCCCTGCAGTCACACATCTTCCAGCTTTCCAGCATGTTCCAAACAACCCTGCCAGGTCTGGATGGAGTTATTTTAAAGCTGAAGGAATTTAATGAAATTCCACTTCACAGTCATGTTGTTCTATTTACTTTTATGGGTGGGATGGGACTTTAGTGCTTCTCTGGTTTGCTAGAATGGTCTGACTCAGCAGCCTTGGCAACCATGACTCCCCCAGTCCTGTCTCTGTGGCTGCTGCCATGGCTGTGAGGGGACCCTACAGAGGAGGCAGAGGTCTCCCATCTCCCCCTCGTCTCCCCTGCAGATCCTGGAGCGGTTGAACAAGATGTGTGGGGTCGGAGAGCAGATGAGGAAGAAGCAACAGAGGCTTTTGAAGAACATGGATGCCCATAAAGTCATGCTGGACCTGCTCCAGATCCCCTATGACAAGGTGACCCGGCTGTGTGGCCCAACCCAGGATGGACCCAGCCCCTAAGGCCCGCCTCGCCACCCACCCGTGCCCTCTTGCCTTTTGGCTCCAAGTCTATCTGCTTTCACTTTGGCCTTTGATCCTCCACCTTTTTCTTTCTATTGTGGGGCTGGGATTGAACCAGAGCCCACCAAGCTACCCAGCCTTTGAGTTTGATTTGACCCAGCCTTGTCCTCTTTAACTCTGATCCCAGCCTCCTTCCCCCTCCTCTGGGATAGCCCTGCTAATCAGCTCCATCTCAACCTTTGATCCTTAGCTCCTTATCTTGACCCACTTTGATTCTAATCCGATCCATGTTCCCAATTGTGGCCTCTTCCCCATCCAGACATCTCACCCTGCCTTCCCTGGGTCTCCCCCTCCCATCTTAATCTCTACCTCTGACCCTCAGCCCCTCACTTTTACTGATTTTGTCTGTAGCTGCACCCTGACTTTAAAATGTTTATTTATTATTACTGTAGGTGTATGTGTGGGGGGGGCACATGGTGCTGGCATGTGTGTGGAGGTCAGAGGACAACTTTGTGAAGTCAGTTCTCTCTTTCCATCTTTATGTGGGTTCTGGGGGTTGAACTCAGGTTGAGTGGCAAGCACCTTTACCTGCTGAGCCATCTCTTAGGCCTATAACTCTTTTTAAAAAAGTATTTACTTTTTAAAAATTTATGCCTATGAGTGTATTGCCTATATGTGTGTAGGTATACCTGTGTCATGCCATGCCCACAGGGGCCAGAAGAGGGCAGCAGATCCCCCGGAACTGGAGTTACAGATGGTTGTGAGCCACCATGTGGGTGCTGGGAACAGAACCCAGATCCTCTGTAAGGGAAGCCAGGGTTCTTAACCACTGAGCCTTCTCTCCAGACCAGCCTGTAACTCTTGACACTACTCCAGCTTTCCTGGGCCTGGACCCCACTGCCCTGCCCCCAACTCCATTCCCCTGGGCTTTTCCATCCTGGTCTGGAGGTTTGTCCCTCACTGGTGGCCCAACACCCTGTCTTCCCCTCCGCTCAGGGTGACAGCAAGATGCTGGAGATTCTCCGCTACACACACCATTTCCTGCAGAAGTTTTGCACCGGGAACCCTGGCAACCAGGCCCTGCTGCACAAGCACCTGCAGCTCTTCCTCACGCCTGGGGTGAGGGGCGTGGCTGCCTGGGTTGGGTCCCTGGTGAGCCTCACCCCTCCCTGATGGCCCACCCCTGCCCACCGCAGCTCCTGGAGGCAGACACCATGCAGCACATCTTCTTCAACAACTACCAGCTGTGCTCCGAGATCAGCGAGCCAGTGCTGCAGCACTTCGTGCACCTGCTGGCCACCCACGGGCGCCACGTGCAGTACCTGGATTTCCTGCACACTGTCATCAAGGCCGAGGGCAAGTATGTGAAGAAGTGCCAGGACATGATCATGACTGAGGTGAGGGGCAGCCGGGGCTGTGGGGGGCTTGGTGGCGGATGAAGGGCAGCCTGGGCTGTGGGGGGCTTGGTGGTAGGTGAGGGGCAGCCTGGGCTGTGGGGGGCTTGGTGGCGGATGAAGGGCAGCCTGGGCTGTGGGGAGTTTGGTGGAGGCCCCAGGGCTAGAGTTGGGTGCTGGTGGGCCCCGGGGGCTAAGGAGGGGTGACGAGGGAGAACTAAGGCCACAGCCCCAGGAGAACTCAAGCTGTGGGTCTCACAGAATTGGCCAGTGCCCAGGAGAACTTGAACCTCTGGGCGTGGTACACAGTGGGACTGCACACATGCCCACTTATTGAAGGTGTGGAGGATGGAGGCTGAGCTTGGATCCCAACCCAGGTGGTTCCCTGGAGCATCTCACAGGACGCTCAGGGGAGGACAGGGACAAGCACAAGTGGTATCGGGAATGTCACATTGAGACACTAGGTGCCGAAACACTCGCCTTGGCCCTGTTTACTGTTGTTCACTGAGTCGGCTCCCTGCGAAGGACAGAGGCGGGATGTGTTTCAAGGGTTCAGTGCAAGCTGTGGAGCCCAAAGGAGAGGCTGAGGGGATTTGGGACACTTTCTGGTCTCAGGATCAAGGCCTCTGATGGTAGAGGGCCTGACACATTAGCTAAGGAACCACAAAACTCAGGGATGGCTCAGGCCTGTAACCCTAGCACTCAGGAGACTGAGGTGGGACCAGAGAGTTCAAGTCATCCTCAGCTATATATAGTGAGTTTGAGGCCAGCCAGAGCTATATAAGCTGTAAATCAAATTAAAACAGAAATTCCAAATCTGGGCTGGGGAGAAATGGCTCAGAGTTGAACGTTTATACTGTTCTCCAGAGGACCTGAGTTCAATTCCCAGCACCCACGTCAAGTGGCTCATGAGTACCTATAAGTCTAGCTCCAGGGAACCCAGTATCGTCTTCTGGATCTTGGGAACCTGCACATACCCACACAAATACATACATACACACGTAATTTAAATCTTTAGGCATGTGGTAGTTTCTTGAGTGTCAGGTAAGGGTTGGGGTTTTGGTCTCAGCTCATTCAGGTCAGCACAGGAGAGGTGTGGGGACAGGGACTGCAGTACTGAGGAGTGTGACACCTGCCGGCCTCCCATCACAGCTGACCAATGCAGGTGATGACGTGGTAGTGTTCTACAATGACAAAGCCTCGCTAGCCCACCTCCTAGAAATGATGAAGGCGGCCCGAGATGGTGTGGAGGATCACAGCCCCCTCATGTACCACATCTCCCTGGTGGACTTGTTGGCCGCCTGTGCAGAGGGCAAGAATGTGTACACAGAGATCAAGTGTACCTCCCTGCTGCCGCTGGAGGATGTGGTGTCGGTGGTGACGCACGAGGACTGTATCACGGAGGTGTGCACCCTTGGGGGCTGCAAGAAGGGTACAGGGTGGGGAGAAGACTGATGCAGCCAGCAGAGGGTGGATACTCAGAGGTGCGGAGAGATGGGGGGAAGAAGACAGGAAGCAAGAGACAGTGGAGGGGCTGGAGAAATAGTTCAGTGGTTAAGAGCACTGGCTGCTCTTGCAGAGGACCTGGGTTCAGCTCCCACCACCCACATGGTGGGTAACAACTGCCTGTAATTCCAGTTCCAGGGGATCTGACACTGTCTTCTGTCCTCCATGGGCATTACACGCATGGGTACACTTACATACGTGCAGGCAAAACACTCATATACATAATCTAAAAATAAGTCAAGGTGGGGAGAGACAGACAGAGGCAGTGGAGCCCTGGGTGCAGATGGTGGGACAGCCTGGACAGGGCTCTGCTGACAGTGGCCTCCCCCACTCTGCCCAGGTGAAAATGGCCTATGTGAACTTTGTGAACCACTGCTACGTGGACACAGAGGTGGAGATGAAAGAGATCTACACCAGCAACCACATCTGGACGCTCTTTGAGAACTTCACCTTGGACATGGCTCTTGTCTGTCCCCAGGGTCCTGGGGGAGCAGGGCCAGGGCTGGGGCTGCTGGGGCAGAGGGACTCACGCGGGCTCCTTGGATGTCATCTCCCCAGGTCTGTAACAAGCGGGAGAAGCGCCTGTCGGACCCCACCCTGGAGAAGTATGTGCTCACCGTGGTGCTGGACACCATCAGCGCCTTCTTCAGCTCCCCGTTCTCAGAGAACAGCACCTCACTGCAGGTGAGTGGCCCACACGGCTCAGCACGGCCACTTCAGTTGTCTCCTGTGTGGGGATAGGGGAATGAGCACGGAGCTGTGCTTATAACACAAGATACAGCGAGTTACACAGTGCATTAGTCATCTGCACGGTGTGACAAATGACTCCGAATGCAGCTTAAAAGACGTGTGTACTTAGTTCTGTGGGTCAGGAATTACAGTAGCAACAATACTATCTGTTTTAGTACTTCTTGTTGCTCTGACAAAGTGGCTTACAAAAAGCGAATTAAGCCAAGAAGGGTTTGGGCTCACAGTTTGAGGGGACACAAACCATCCATCATGGTAGGGAAGGTATGTCAGCAAGTCACATCACATCCACAGTTGGGCAGCAGAGAGGAGAATAGTAGTGATTTTAAATCCGATTTCTCCTACTTATCTATTTATTTATGTGTTTTATGTGTGTGAGTGTTTTACCTGCGTGCATCTAAGTGTGCCCGTGCTGTGCGATGCTTGTGGAGGCCAGAAGAGGGCTTCAGATTCCCTGGAACCAGAGTTACAGATGGTTGGTAGCTGCCATGTGGCTGCTGGGAACCACACTCAGGTCCTCTGCAAGAGCAGCTTGTGCTTTTTTGAACCCTGGAGATATCTCCAGCCACACGCTTCCTCCCTTTTATTCATCCTGGCACTGCAGCCCTTGGGCATGTGCAGCTCATGTGTAGGGTGTGTCTTCCCCACTCAGGCAGCCTTCCTGCAGACACCTTCATAGACACACCCGGACGCGTGTCTCCTAGGTGATTTTAAATCCTATCAAATTAACAAGATTAACCATCACAGTATCCAGCAGGAGCCCTCCAGGCCAACGTGTCTGTAGGGTCACAGGATAGCAGGGTGGGTGTGGTCACTGCTCTGGCTGGCAGAGCCAGAACGACATCAGTACAGTCCCATTTGCAGAGTCCCTGCCCTGCCCAGTTGGCGATGATGTGTCTAGGGTCACTGACAGTCACAACTCTCACTGCCGAAGGAGTGAGGTGACTTTGTAACTGGCAGGGCCATGCCATAACAGTGGAGCTTCTGGGCCCCGGCTGCCTAGTGGAGGTGGCTGAGTAGCCTCAGCGGGTCGTGTGGCTTTTGCAGACGCACCAGACAATTGTAGTCCAGCTGTTGCAGTCCACCACAAGGCTGCTTGAGTGTTCCTGGCTTCAGCAGCAACACAAGGGGTCTGTGGAGGCCTGTGTCCGCACCCTTGCCATGGTGGGTAAGTGTCCATGCTGGACGGCACCCTGCCTGCCCTCCCTCCCCTTGCCACAGACACCTGCCCTCTTAGCACCTTATCCCCAAGCACCTACATCACCCGCTCCAGGTGGTCCTCTGTAAGCCCTTCTTGATGTCTACCTGGTATCTGGGCCAGGGAGAGTTGAGTTGTTTTCTCCTCCCAGTTGACTCCTGATGGAAGACAGCAGAGTGACTCAGGCCAATCAGAGTTGTTTTCTTTTTCTGTTTTTTTTTTTTTTTTCTTTGTGCTTGCAAGGAATCCCAGACAGGAGGGAGGCAGATGGGTTGTGCATGCCTGTGGCAGGGGAATTGGGCAGAACACCCAACGGGTCAAGAGCAGAGCCCATGCCTGGCCCTTACTGTCCCCTGCTCTGCCTGCTGCCTGCTCTGGTCTTCCCTCTCTCCTCCTTGTCCCCCATGTGGCATCCTGAGCCTGGTCCAACCACCTGCATCCACCCTGCCCACTTTTCTCTCTCCCATAGCCAAGAGCCGGGCCATCTTGCTGCCCATGGACCTGGATGCCCACATCAGCGCCCTGCTCAGTAGTGGGGCCAGCAGTGTAACCACTGCCCAGCGCAATGCTGCCAACTACAAGACAGCCACGAGGACCTTCCCCCGAGTCATCCCCACCGCCAATCAGTGGGACTACAAGAACATCATTGAGAAGCTGCAGGTGGGTGCCGTGCCCCCCCTCCCCCATAGGCGCTGTGTAGTGTTTGGGGGTATGGAGTGCCCTGGTCATCCCGGGACAGTGGTGACCATGCCCTCCTGCCCCAGGACATCATCACGGCCCTGGAGGAGCGGCTGAAGCCCCTGGTGCAGGCTGAGCTGTCAGTGCTGGTGGATGTGCTGCACTGGCCTGAGCTGCTCTTCCTGGAGGGCAGTGAGGCTTACCAGCGCTGTGAGAGTGGGGGCTTCCTGTCCAAGTGAGCAGGGGTGCGGTGACCCAGGTCTGGGCAGGGCCCCAGTGTTGGAGGATGGGAGGGGCCGAGGCTGGAGCCAGGCAGGTATCAGCCCTGAGACGAAGCCTTCACTCCAGGCTGATCCGGCACACCAAGGGCCTCATGGAGTCGGAGGAGAAACTGTGCGTGAAGGTGCTGCGGATGCTGCAGCAGATGCTGCTGAAGAAGAGCAAGTACGGGGACCGGGTGAGTGCTGGGGTGTCACCGGGCCAGAGCGGGGGCTCGGGTGCAGGGCCTCAGCCCCTGAAGGCCTCCTCTCTTCCTCCCAGGGCAACCAGCTGAGGAAGATGCTGCTGCAAAACTACCTGCAGAACCGCAAGTCCAGCTCCTGGGGAGAGCTTCCAGACCCCACAGGCTCCGGTCAGTGCTGCCGCTCCGCCTTACCTCACCTGGTCTACTGTGTCTGGCTCCTGCTCCCAAACTCTCCCTCATACTGATATCTCCCTCCAGGCCAGGACCAGGACTGGTCAGCCATTGCAGCCACCCAGTGCCGGCTGGACAAGGAGGGGGCCACCAAGCTGGTATGCGACCTCATCACTAGCACAAAGAACGAGAAGATCTTCCAGGAGAGCATTGGCTTGGCCATCCGTCTGCTGGACGGGGGCAACACCGAGATCCAGGTGCAGGGGACAGGGCTTGGCGCTACCACCTCTAATGCCACTGCCTGCTTGGGAGAAGGGGTGGGTTGAGGCTGCAGGGGGCTTGGTTGCAGGTCTGGGTGCTGGCGACACCCCACGGGTAGCTCCACTGCCCACATCTGTACTTGTGTTATGTGGCCCCTTTGCCACCCACACACTGTCTCCTCCAGCCAAGCAGTCCTGACTCAGTGCTAAGTTCACTGTTTTGGCATCTCAGTCTCTGCTCGGGCCTCCTCCCCTCCTCTCCCATCCTCTTCAGCTTTGGAACTGAGCTCTAGTATAGAAGCCTGACTACTTCGAAGTCCCAACTGCTCTAACCCCGTTTGTTCACTCACTCATTCACCCATTTGTTCACTCATTCATTCCTTCACATTTGGTAAGTCGGCACTGAACAGCAGGTGTGCCTGTGCCTGATGACGACGCAGGCACCAAGGGCTCAGCTCTGAGAAAGACAGAATCTGAGTTCTCTTGGTCCCTGTGTCCTAAAAGGGACCCAGGCTAAGTGTGGACATAATGTGGAGAGCAGGATCCAAGCCAGGGGCTCTGGAGTGCATGGCACAGGGTGATGTTAAATAGAGTGACAGTCTGGGACTGGTGGCTCAGGCCTGTCATCTCAGCTACTCAAGATGCTGAAGCAGGAGGATCCCAAGTTCAAGGCATGCCTGGGCTACAGAGCAATTCCAAGGCCAGACTAGGTAACTTGTCTCAGTCTTGTCTCAAAATTAAGAGGGCTGAGGATATATCTCAGTGGTACTTGCCTAGTTCACAAGGCCCTAGGTTTCATTCCCAGAACAAATGAAAAAAAATTAAAAAGTGACGAGGATGGCCAAGGGGACGGGGATGTAGAGCTGAGGTGATGACGTATCTGTGTGAGAAGAGCTGGCGTGGAGGGCCTGGAGTCAGAGGCAGCAGGATCTCTCGTAGCCTGGGGATACTAAGTGGCCAGGGTTTTTCATCTGAGGGAGCCGCTAGAGGCTTCATACAGCCGAAGGGTGGGACTCAGGCTTCCAGGGGATCCCTCTAGCTACAGTGTGGGCAGCTACTGGAGCCAGTGGCCAGCAGGCTGCCCAGACCCCCAGCATCATGGTTTCAGCTAGTTGGCCTGCAGACCCTTCCCCATTAAATGATGGGGTCCTAAGCCTCCCCTATGCCTCAGTCTCAGGACACATATGGCTCCAGACTCTGCTTTGAGTATGTCTGTTCTATTCCTGTGCCAACAAAACACAGGGCAGATCTGTGTGGGAAGAGCTCCATCATCTGAGACAAGGTTTCATGTACCTCAGGTTGCTCTCAAGCTTAATATGTAGCCAAAGGTGACTCTGAATTCCTGATCCTCCTGCCACCACCTTCTGAGTGCTAGGATGCCAGGCATCCACCACCATCCCCAGCTTCAGGCTAGGACTCTTGAGGACTCACCAGGGCCAGTAAGAAACAGGCCTAGCCCTGATGCTGCCTGCCACCTCCTGTCCACCTCCAGAAATCCTTCTACAACCTGATGATGAGCGACAAGAAATCTGAGCGCTTCTTCAAGGTGCTGCACGACCGCATGAAGCAAGCTCAGCAGGAGACCAAGTCCACTGTGGCCGTTAACATGAGTGACCTGAGCAGTCCACCACATGAGGACCGTGAGCCACCAGACCCCACAACCAAAGGTCAGGGGCTCGAAGCGGGCACACGATGCAGGTTGATGGGGTCCCAAGGCAAGATACTCTGGCCTCAGGGACAGGTGTGGCTCCCAGCAGCCCCAGCTTCATCAGGTCTCCCCGCCCCACAGGCCGTGTGGCCTCCTTCTCCATGCCCAGCTCCTCCTCCCGCTATTCGCTGGGCCCCAGCCTGCACCGGGGGCATGAGGTGGGTGAGCGCGTGCAGAACGAGATGGGCACCTCCGTGCTAGTGATGCGGCCCATCCTGCGATTCCTGCAGCTGCTGTGTGAGAATCACAACCGTGACCTACAGGTGAGTGCCGCACCAGGGCCCTTTGGCCCCTATGTCAGCAGTCACTGGGGCTGGTGTCCTCCTCCTGGCTGGGCATGGTGCCCCTGTGGCTTGGCCTGCCTTTCCTGCTGGAGCTATACCCACTTTGCCTGTGCTCCTCAGAACTTCCTGCGCTGTCAGAACAACAAGACCAACTACAACCTGGTGTGTGAGACGCTGCAGTTCCTGGACATCATGTGTGGCAGCACCACGGGGGGCCTGGGGCTGCTGGGGTTGTACATCAACGAGGACAACGTGGGCCTCGTCATCCAGACTCTGGAGACTCTCACCGAGTACTGCCAAGGCCCGTGTCATGAGAACCAGGTGAGCAGGCATGGCCGTGTGCGTCCTTGGGGTGGCAGTATGTGAATGAGGTAGGTAAGTGGGTGGGAACACGGAAAGGGTCCAGGGCCACCATGACTCTAATGGATCTGGTCCTGCACACCGCCCCCTCTCCTGTCAGACCTGCATTGTGACTCACGAGTCCAATGGCATTGACATCATCACTGCACTGATTCTCAACGACATCAGCCCACTGTGCAAGTACCGCATGGATTTGGTGCTGCAGCTCAAGGTGGGGCCCGGCAGTGTAGCTGTGACGTGTGTGTGTGTGTGTGTGTGTGTGTGTGTGTGTGTGTTTGCTTTTGGTCACATACACAGGCTGCATTTGCTACACAAATGTGCACAGTTGGGAAGACATCCCACTTGTCCTACGTTCTGAGGACTTCCTGTGTGTGTCTGCCATGGGGGTGGGGTTTGAGCATGCTTGCACAGGGCCAGCCAGACTGGCCTGTGGGGGGACTGGTAGGCAGGCCCCTTCTCAGCAAACCTGAGGCTGGAAGCAGAGGGAGGAGGAGGTTGCAGTGTCATGAACGGGGCCCATAGCCTTGGCTTGCTTCCTGTGCCCCCTCTACCCAGGACAACGCCTCCAAGCTGCTCCTGGCTCTGATGGAGAGTCGACATGACAGTGAGAACGCAGAGCGCATCCTCATCAGCCTGCGGCCTCAGGAGCTGGTGAGACCCCGCTGGCCGCCCAGAGGGGATCAGCAGCAGGTTAAGGACCCAGCAGCAAGTATTTGAGCAAGTGTTGCCTCACTCCAGGTGGACGTCATCAAGAAAGCCTACCTGCAGGAAGAGGAGCGGGAGAACTCGGAGGTGAGCCCACGTGAAGTGGGCCACAACATCTACATCCTGGCGCTGCAGGTACCTGCGTCATGGCCCCGCCCCACCCATGGCCCCGCCCCTGCCATGGCCCCGCCCCTGCCATGGCCACTCTGTCTTCTGCAGCTTTCCAGACACAACAAACAGCTGCAACACCTGCTGAAGCCGGTCAAACGCATCCAGGAGGAGGAGGCCGAGGGCATTTCTTCCATGGTGCGCACAGGAGCAAGTCTGGGAGTGGGATGGGGCTTGAACTTAGGGGCGTGGCTTGATCGTATGTCTTGGGCTAGTGTCTGGGGAGGGGCGGGGCTACGACTTGAGTGCTGAGATGAGGGCATGGCCGAGAACTGAGGTTTCATTGGGAGTCTGAGATGACCCGGGAGCGGGCTGCTGTCACCCGGGGGATGGACTGGAGGCAAGTAAGAGGCTTGGATCTGAGCTAGGCTGGAATTTGTGGGTGGGGCTTGGGCTGGGAGCTGGACTGGGATCCAGTGGTGTAATCCTGATTTAGAAATGAAAGCAAGACCTGCTTGGATCTGGGCAGGTCTGGGAAGTTCTAACAGGGCCCAGCCTGGGCAGGACTGAAGAGGGTATCAGCTGCCCTGTGGCCTTCTCTAGTTGTGGTGCCAGAATCCTGGAGTCTGGGTCTAGTTGTGTGGGACTGGCTGAGGGTCGCCCCTGGGAGCATTGCTCAGGCCTGGCTGTGGTGCTGACCTAACACCCCTGGTCCCCAGCTCAGCCTCAACAACAAGCAGCTGTCCCAGATGCTCAAGTCTTCTGCGCCAGCTCAGGAGGAGGAGGAAGACCCGCTGGCCTACTATGAGAACCACACCTCACAGATCGAGGTGAGGCTGAGGGTGCTGGGCACAGGGGTGGGGTACTAGTGAGGGCCTTGGCCCAGTGTGACCAGGTGCTTCCTGACCAGATCGTGCGGCAAGACCGAAGCATGGAGCAGATCGTGTTCCCGGTGCCCGGCATCTGCCAGTTCCTGACGGAGGAGACAAAGCACCGGCTCTTTACCACCACTGAGCAGGATGAACAGGGCAGCAAAGTGAGCGACTTTTTTGACCAGTCCTCCTTCCTGCACAACGAGATGGAGTGGCAGCGCCGGCTCCGCAGTGAGGACTGGGGTGGGGGTAGGGGGCTCACCTTCCCCACACCTCCCCTCTCTGGGTGCCCTGAGCGGTAGGGTGGTCAGGACCCTCACGCCATGCTGCCTCCCCCAGGCATGCCGCTTATCTACTGGTTCTCCCGCCGCATGACGCTGTGGGGTAGCATCTCCTTCAACCTGGCTGTGTTCATCAACATCATCATCGCCTTCTTCTACCCCTACGTAGAGGGCGCGTCCACAGGTAAAGCTGCCAGCCCCTCCCAAATGCAGATGCATTCCTGCACTGACCACATGTGGGCCCGCCACACATTAGAGGGGACAGGTGTGGCTCAAGGAACAGGTGGGCTGCTTGATCTCCAGGGAGATGGCATGTGTGTTCAGGCACACATGTAGATGTGTGCCAGAAACTTGCAGCAGCTGGCCGGGTGGGAGATGCCCCTTAGGCTTGCCGGGAAGGCTCCTGGGAAAAGGAGATTCTGGGGAGCTCTGGAACCTCCCTGGGGCATTGAAGACTTGAGTGAGCCCCCCTCACACCATCCCGCTGCCCCCAGGCGTGCTGGGCTCCCCGCTCATCTCACTGCTCTTCTGGATCCTCATCTGCTTCTCCATTGCGGCGCTGTTCACCAAGCGCTACAGTGTCCGCCCCCTCATCGTGGCTCTCATCCTGCGCTCCATCTACTACCTGGGCATCGGGCCCACGCTCAACATCCTGGGTGCCCTCAATGTGAGTGCCAGGGGGTCCTCCCTGGCCACCTGGATAATTCTGAGGTTGGCCTTGGAACTGGCCTACTGCTCCTTGCCACCTTGTGGTCACAGCCTCACCTCTGCATCAGGGTCCCAGGCTCCTTGTAGACCAGGGGTGGAGACTGTTCTGTGCTCCATCCCCTAACAATGTGGGCACATCACTCACAGACAAGATAGTAGCCGCTTTGAATCAGCAGCACTCAGGGCTGCCCTGTGCTGGGTGCTGGTCATATACTGTCCAAAGGCCCTGTGTGTGCAGGTGGACATCAAAGACTTGTGCTTTACAATTTCCTGGGATATAGGAAAGGGGCCTTTTCCTAATCTTTTCCTTCACTTGTGAAGGTGGGGTTTTCTCTGGCCCATCCTCCTTTACCTGAGTCTCAATGTTCCCCTGGAGCTGGAGGAGCCAAGGGGCCCAAGAGCCCCAGGCAGGTCCATTGATACCATGCCTCCCACACTGAGCAGGACCAGTACCATTCATTCCATGGGCATCTTCTGCTGAGCTGGGTGTAGTGGTAGGGTTTGAAAGGTCAGGGTGGTGATGGACTGCTGACTTCCATGTCTTGCCCTTTTCTCTCCACAGCTGACCAACAAGATCGTGTTTGTGGTGAGCTTCGTGGGTAACCGTGGCACCTTCATCCGAGGCTACAAGGCCATGGTCATGGACATGGAGTTTCTGTACCATGTGGGCTACATCCTGACAAGTGTCCTGGGCCTCTTCGCCCATGAGCTGTTCTACAGCATTCTAGTGAGCCTGCTAGGATGTTTGGGCTGAGGGGGCTTCCCTGAGCTGTTTCTGATGTCCAGCCCCCATCTCACTCAGCCTTTGCTGCTGGGCTGGGAGATCCTCTTCGCCCATGAGCTGTTCTACAGCATTCTAGTGAGCCTGCTAGGATGTTCGGGCTGAGGGGGCTTCCCTGAGCTGTTGGGCTCACTCAGCCTTTGCTGCTGGGCTGGGAGATCTTAACCTTCCAAGTCCAGCCTGATCCCAGCCTGGCCCTCAAGGCCTGCTGGCTTCTCTCAGCCTCCATCTGTCTCGTCTCTCTCATACAGTAGGGGGATCAGTTCTGGACTCACCTAGATCATGTTTGCAATTCCTACTTGAATATTCTTAGCCATAACTTGGGGAGGGTTCTTAGCAGCCCTGTGCCTCACAGCAGCCTCTAGGTTCTAGCATAATTATGGGTGAAGTGAGCTAATTTGGAAGCACCCCAGAATGCTTCCTGGGGAGCGCAGTGTAAGAATCACCATTCTTCTCCCTTGGTGGCTGGGGTCCGCCTGCCTATACCCCCCATACCTTCCCCTGGGGTATTTTCTTTCTTTGGCATTAGAACCCTGTTTCTCCTACAAGCCCACCCAGGTTGTTCACTCTGGCCTGAGCACAGACCCCCTTGGCAGAGGCTGTGGCAACTGTCAGGGTCTGGCAGTGTCCTGGGGAGGATGGCTGGCTCATCAAGGCGTTGACCTTCCCCCACAGCTCTTTGACCTCATCTATCGTGAGGAGACACTGTTCAATGTCATCAAGAGTGTGACCCGCAATGGCCGCTCCATCCTGCTGACTGCCCTGCTGGCCCTCATCCTTGTCTACCTCTTCTCTATCGTGGGCTTCCTCTTCCTCAAGGATGACTTCATCCTCGAGGTGGACCGGCTGCCTGGGAACCACTCCAGAGGTCTTGGGGGCTTCCTCTCTGGGACGGGTGTGTGGGGATGACACTGGCCCTGCACAGGTGACTCGTATCAGGACCAGACAGGGTTTGCTGACCCTGCCAGACTCCCAGCATTCCTCCTGTTGAATTCTGGGGAAGTCTAGCTCACACCAACCAGCTTCCCCACACAGGTCTAGCTCACTGCAGTCTGAGAGGGAGACAGAGCCTTGGGAGCCACTGGCTTGAGCTGAGCCCCTTGCTGGACTGTCATTTATGCTGAGCTTGATGTTTTCAGGGGCTCTCTGGGTGCCAGGCTCAGGGGTACAGAGACATCCCTCCCCACTATCATCCTTAGTGTGAGCCCAGTGGGGGGCCGCAGATTCAGGGGAGGCCTCCTGGGGATGTGAGGCTGGGGATAGAGCAGAGAGATGCTTTTGGGCTTCTTTGTGACCTTGCCCTCACTCCTCTAGCCAGCCCCCTGGGGATGCCACATGGAGCTGCCACGTTTGTGGGCACGTGCAGTAGGGATGAGATGGGCTGTGTTTCGGGGGTCTCAGTACCAGAGTTTCTGGAAGGTAAGGCTGGGGCATCCACAAGTTGGGGTGTGGTGTGTCAGAGGTGGGTGGCCCAGCTCTGAGCGTGCTGCCTACCCACAGAGGATGGGGAGCTCGATAGCACAGAGCGGGCCTGCGACACTTTGCTCATGTGCATCGTCACTGTCATGAACCACGGGTTGCGCAACGGCGGTGGCGTGGGCGACATCCTCCGCAAGCCCTCCAAAGATGTGAGCATCCCTGCCCTACTCCCAAGTCCAAAGAGCCCTGCCCTGTCCTCGGTCTCAGCCGGGCTCCCCTCTAGCCCTCAGCACTGGCCACCCCACACGTGCTGGTGTATCTGCACCAGCAGCTGTTTCAGGTGACATTGTCCTGAGCCCTGTTCTGTCCTCATGGTGGCCCTCGGGCTTGCCCTGCAGGAGTCCCTCTTCCCTGCCCGGGTGGTATATGACCTCCTGTTCTTCTTCATCGTCATCATCATCGTGCTGAACCTCATCTTCGGGGTGATCATCGACACCTTCGCCGATCTGCGAAGTGAGAAGCAGAAGAAGGAAGAGATCCTCAAGACCACGTGCTTCATCTGCGGTGAGCCCTGTTTCCTGCTTGCTACTGCACCACCGAGGCTTCTGGGCCTTGCTAAGGCCTCCAGGGTGCCTGTGCAAGGTGGATGACTGGATGGCTGTATGCCCATCCCAGGATGGAGGGAGCAGATCTGGCCTGCGCTGGGACTGGTAGAAAGGGCAGGGTGACATCTCCATGGCTGAACAGCTGGAGCTTTAAATAGTGATCCAAATAGCCCCAGAGTATGCTGTTGGAAGTGGCCATCATGGCGGCCCTCTGTGCATGATGGATGGCTTCATTCTCTGCCCCAGGTCTGGAAAGGGACAAGTTCGACAACAAGACGGTGTCCTTCGAGGAGCACATCAAGCTGGAGCACAACATGTGGAACTACCTGTACTTCATTGTGCTGGTCCGTGTCAAGAACAAGACCGACTACACCGGCCCTGAGAGCTACGTGGCCCAGATGATCAAGGTGGGAGCACGTGCTGCCCCAGGCGGGGACCTGCAGTCCCTGACCCAGGAGGAGTGGCCTCATTTGCCTGCACTGGCTTAGGAGGCTGGAGGGGTGACGGCTGCACTCACTTGTTGGGCCAGGGACTGAGAACAGCTGGAGCCAGCACTCAGCTGTGTGAAGCCCTCCTAGCCACCCTGTCCCACTCTTTGGTAGGAGGAGAAAGTGAACCCCTAGCAAATCTGTCAGCCCTGGATGACTTTATCATCCCAAGGCATGGGTTACAGCAGGTACTCGGGAGGTGCACAGTGGGGACACCCCTCCCAGGGCCATTACTCTGTGTGACCCACAGGGCCTCTTACAGTTTTAGTGAGAGGACGGCTTCCTAAAGTCAAGATTGCTCCAAGCCAAGAGAAAGCCTAGAAAAAGCTTTAAAGTACCAGGCTTAATAGAATTAAATATAATCTGTCCAATTTCCTTAGTCATGAAGTCATTGAAGCATTCTGCCTTTAAAAGAGGTTTTATCGTTGGTCTGTGACAAGGAATCAGAAAACTGCCTGGCCGGGCCCCTCCTTCCTGCTCCTGCTGTCTCTGGAAACGAGACTTTGCCTCTCAGATATGTCAGGTGCTAGCCCTCAGCAGAGCCGCCTGCGTCTGGGTGGCTTGCACCTTCCCAGAGGCATGGGGTGTGCCTGACCGGAGCAGTGGGAGAAAGAAGGAAGCAGGCTTGAGCCCTGGCCTTCCTCGTACCCTCGTGCCAGGGAGTGAGCAGATGGATGCCAGTGAAGGGCTTACCTGGCGGACAGGGCTGGGTACCGAAGGCAGCCTGCTGTGGTGGCAGAGGTCCACTGCTGGCCCTCTCCTGCCCAAGAGGACCCAGGCTAGTTCAGATTTTCCCATGAAACATCCCCAGCTGGCCATCTGCTCAGGGGTGTGGTTTTCCCTAAGTGGAGCTTATCCTGGCTGGCCCTTGGTCTCTTCCAGAACAAGAACCTGGACTGGTTCCCAAGGATGCGGGCTATGTCCCTAGTGAGCAATGAGGGTGAGGGTGAGCAGAATGAGATTCGCATCCTGCAGGAGAAGCTGGGCTCCACCATGAAGCTGGTATCACACCTTACCGCCCAGCTCAACGAGCTCAAGGAGCAGGTGAGCACCGTCCCAGTTCAGCCTAGCAACCCCCAGCTTCAGTCCCAATGGCGGGGAGGAAGATTCTGAGCCTTGGCTCCCAGCCTGGGATGTGGGGCAAGTTCTGAACACTGGCCCTTCTGTGGAGAGCTGGGCTGCAATAGGCAGCCATCACTGGCCACTGAAAGATAAGGCCATGGGGAACCTTGGTTCCGTGTGGGGCCTCCCACCCTGTGGCCCCCTTTCTGTAAATGCCAGGCAGCACCTTTAAGGGTCCCCTGTGTTAGGACTCCAAGACAGCACCTCATGCTTATGTCCCCTTGCCAGAGCACATGACTTGATGCCATAGCCGTTTTAATGGGACAGTCTCTCAGCTGCATCAGGGCTCATGGAGGGAGGACATGGCCCTTCAGCAGTGCCGTGTGTGGAAAGGGGTGATGGGCAGCCTGACCAGGCTTGTCTAACCTAGATGACAGAGCAGCGGAAACGCAGGCAACGCCTGGGCTTTGTGGATGTGCAGAACTGCATGAGCCGCTGAGGCGAGCCCTTGAAGTCCCAACAGGCCTGCCACTGGGGGCCAATCGGGAGCAGCACCACCCCTCCTGAAGGGGGCCTGCCAGCCCACCAGCCTCTGACTACTGCCAGCTCGCCACTGCCCCCCACCCCCAGCCAGGTCTGACCAGGTGGGAGCACTTCAGAGTGGACAGCCCTGCCTAGAGCCCATAAAGTGACTCAGTTTACCTTAGTGCCTTAGAAGATAGGTCCTTGAGACCGCTGTCCTGCCCTTTGGGCTGCCTCTCATCTCCAAGCACTACACTTTGGCTGCCACCCACTTTAGGGCGTTGACAGTGTCGCTGTTCCTAGCAACTTAGGGCTTTGTGTTTAACTTATTCCTGGGGGCTGACCCACTGTGCTGTGGATGCACAGCTCCCAGTGCCTGCTGGGGACAGTGTGCTGACCTTCCGGCCCTGTCCATGTGGTCCAACTCAGGATGGACAGCCTTGTTCCCAGGACCTGCCTCTCTCTGGGCCTCATGGGCAAGAGTCACAGGCCCAGGGGACAAGGTCTGAGCTGTGTGAAAGTGGCTGTTTTTTGACTTTTTCTCTTTGGTGTAATGTTTTACAAGTCTTGTGTCCCAAGAACTAATATGTTAATTGCCTTAAATAAATTAACAGAAACCTAGTCCATGAACCAGGTGTATGCTTCTGTTTCTTGCACTGTTGGGGGCTGTGGGGACTAATGTGCCCTAATGTTACCTGGCAGAGGGCAGAACACAAGCCCTTCCCTGCTGGCCTGGCCTCCCTCTCAGGCTCAGGAGGGCCTGACATCTGTCTCACCCTGACACCTAGCAGGGCTCTGATCAGAGAACTGTTTCAATGTAACTAATTCCATCAGAATCCTTCTTGCCTTCTGCCCTGTGGCACTGCCCACCCCTGCAGCCAGGGAAGACACTCCGGTAGAAACATGAATATACCAAAAGAGCAAAGGTTGCAAGCAGGGTAGACTTGTGGGAGCCCCAACAGGTCCCATCTGTGGTCTTCCAGAGAATGTGCCCAGTATTGAGGCCCCACCTGCTCAAGGCTTGGCTACAGCTCTGCTGTCCCTCAGGCCACCTGGGCACACGGTTTCCACAGGGCAGAGACTTGAGCTCTGTCCTCCGAGCCAGTGGGCGGAGGACCAAGCAGGATCCCTGCATCTGTGGCCTCACTTCCCTGCTGCTGTTTGCTACCTGCCGCCTGTGTTGGGTCACAGCCGATTCTGGCCTCCTCCCAGCTGCTCCTGTAGCAAAAGGGCCGGAGAGTCACTGGGAGCATACTCTGGCACCTTCTTAGGGCCCAGTCTGTGGGCTGGTCCTGGTAGAATCCATACAGCATCCCTGCTCAGGCAACCAGAGCCTCCCTCTGGTGAGGACATGAGCAAGTCCCAGACACGGCAGTTGGAGGAAGTTGGGCAGTTTTATTGACAGGAGCAATAGGGAAGGCCGTGTCAGGTCCGTGGGCGAGATAAGACCCGAGCCCAGGCTTTGTGCTTCTCCTCCGGCCTGGCGGGTGCAAACTTCTCCTGTAGCTTCCTCCACACGCTCTTATTCATCTCCTGAAACTCTTCCAAGGTATCTGCACAGGGAAGGAAAGACAGGCTGAAGTCGCATGCCTGTCCACAAGGACACTAGCAGGGCTGTCCCCATGAGCAGGACATCTTGCTTTCCACTCCGTGTTCCAGGCCCTGGGTCCATACTGTGGAAAGCAGATCTCAAGGATAAATGTAGGAACTGCCAGTGGTGATGGAACACCGTGGTCACCTGACCCCTTCATCCCCAGTACCACAGAGGTGCACTCCAGGCCTGTTCCGCAGTGTGCTTTCTTCCCGGACTCGGCCTACCGCACACAGACCTCACTACCTTTTTCAGATGTGGATATAGGTAGAGGGAGGGCCTCCTCCTTGCTCAGACAGCACAACTAAGACAGGAAGGAGCTGGGAGTCAAACCCAGCAGTGTGGGTCACTGCAGGTAGACTGAGGCCCGAATCCTGCCCGTTGTTTCCTTCAGGGCCCCCTGAACCAATCCTGGAACCCTCTGAGCCTTGGGTTCCTTAACTGCAAAATGAGGACAAAACTACAGACCTCAAGCTGTGAGGCATGTGGGAACCACAGTGGGAACTGGCCTGGCACTGGATGGGAAGGTCTCCATGTTGGCAGAATGGCTGCCGAGAATGGGGGGCCACATGTAAGAACAGCCCCCCCCCAATGCGAACCACAGCAGTTCTTATCTGTGCACTGTCAGTTTGCACCAGGTGTTTTTATTTTTTTTTTAATTCTCCTATGCTGTCCTATGTGCTGCAGGGTGTCAGCAGAGGCCAGTAGGACCCCACCCTTACCAGCTGTGATAATAAAAAATGTCTCCAGCCATGGCTGCACGTTCCTGGGGCAGGAGAGTTCCATCAGGGACTCAGACCCTGTGAGCTCATTTCACGGTGGCGGACCTCAGGCCGACATTCTAACACTGCTTCACATTCAGGGGCTTTGGTTTTCCAAAGTCCTAACGTCTTTATGGTCAACGGGCTCCAGACCAGCTGTGCCACAGCCACCAACCAGCTCAGCCTCTGGGAACCTGAACAGAATCTAGGTTCCCAAACGGGGCACACAGTGAGACACTGTGGGATCCCTGTCTGCCTACACACTGCGAGGCCTCAATCAACTCTGCGGGCCAGGGTGGACACACTCATGACGTAGGTCTGGCTGGTCCCGTGTGTGCAGGTCCCTTCTTGCTCTGGTGGTTAAGTTTACTCTACACAGTTACAACAAAAACATGAAGCCGGCTGTGAAAACACATTATCAGCGGATTTCCTGGAGCTGCCTGGCAGCCAGACAAGGAGCAGCAGTGTGGGCCACGGGGCGGTGGTCCCCATGGAGCACTCAGGCTTCCTGAGGGCTGGTAAACGGGTAAGGTGCAGGGTCTCTGGAACCTGAGTTCATTTTAATTTCACGCTCTCCAGATCCCTCACAAAGACACACATCAATGTTGGTGACAACATGACCAGGGCTGTGGGAATAAATTTATGCACCAGAAGAAAACATGCTGCAAAGGGAAGCTGCCGGCCACACGGTGAAGCCCAACTTTCCTGAGTTGACACAGACACAGCAGGTGACACCAGGTTTCAATCCACTCAGAAAGATAACAGAATTCTAGAAGGTCAAATCTCTACTGGCAAGAAGAGAAATTTCTAGAGCACCAGATGGCCCATGTTTCAGGGCCATGCCCTCCCAGAAAAGGTTTGCCTATTTTCGTATACAATATCCTTAGCAATAAAAATAGTAATTTTCCAGTACCTGCCCACTTTGACCCTGCCCCATGACAATGGTGATGGGGAAACGAGGAGGGTGGGGGCAGGGAGTTTCCTTCCTATTAACCAGGGTCTAGCCATGACTCTAAAACAGACCTAGTCAAACTTGTATCTAACCTGCAGACCACGTCCCCTGGGTCAGATAACTCACAGACGGATATCCCCAGACTCATTTACTAAATGGCTTTTTGTTTTAATTAAAAGCCTCATTGTTTATAAAGCCCCTCAGGACCATAAAAATAAAATTATTTTCCTTCCATCATGATTTCAATGACTTCCATTTGGCAAATATGTAGTCCCCTGTTCCTGGCTGTCCAGCCTTGAATTTAAAAGTACCAAACACAGATTTAGTACTTTTCTGAGTGAAGCCTTTTCCATATTTGGTGGCCCAAACACATAGGCCCCGTAGCTTCAGAATTCCCTTTGGGCTATTCCACGAGGATATCCATCACGCAAAACCGTCTCAACAGGCAATCTTCCTCAGTCTCTCAAGCTCAAACATCACCAGCAAACCAACCAGAAGGGCAGCCACACCCTCGATACCTGTGGATAGGATCAGCTTGTACTCTTCCACGGACAGGCCGCTGAAGCTGGTGTCTCTGGGGCGGGGGTACTGGCACAGGAGCAGGAGAAAAGGACAGGTTAGTTCTGTAGCACGCTGCCCCTGCTCTGCTGGCTGCAGCTGACCTGGGCCCTAGGCTGGGCGGGAAGCCTAGCCAGCAGAGGAACAGTGCCACCTGGAGGCCAGAACTTGCACGAAGCAGACAGAGGAGCAGGCAGCTCTTGTTACTGTGGCAAATCATCTGGAGAATGAGGCTGACTGGGAAGCCGGGCCCAGGAGCCTGTGTTTCTAACTAGCTCCCAGCACTGGCTATGCTGTGGTGGCCGCGGAGGACCACTCTGAGCAGACAACATTGGGAAGGGTTCCCTTCTGCACACAGGCTCTTCCATTTGGCCAGGTCTAGTTGTGGAGCTACTGAACATGGTTTTCAAGTCTGGGAAAAACCACACTATGTAGAATTTGACAGCAACTATGTCAAGGCTGAGTAAAAGCACAGCTTTGTCTAACAGGACCTTCCCAATCTATCTGATCAGGTGTGAGGTACCAGCTCCACCGCCGTGGAGGGCCCAGATCGATGCCGCCACAGCTCCCTCCCAGGAGCACACTGCCATACAGAGGCACAGCTTTTCTTCACAATGTAAAATTGGCTTTTATTCAAGTGACCTTTTAAAGGCCTCTGCCAGGTACCACTGTTGGCTTGCTTCAAAGTGCTGGGTACAATTGAAAGGAGCAAAGACATGGTTCTTTACAAAACATTGTATAATCGGGTTTTCACTTGTTCTGATTGGTCCTCCTAACAGAGGCTGGGATATGAAAGCCTGCAGCCCACTCACCTTGTGTTTGTAGTAGTTTGAATGGAGTCGTGCTAAGCTCTCGTACATCTGATCACAGGCCTCTGGTTCTGCAATCTGAAAGACAAAGCACCCCCAGAAAAGTGAGTGAAAGAAAGCGTTGGACCCCCATGCAGTGCCTGTACCTTGAGGGAGGCCAATGTATAGCAAGGTGTTCACAGGAGGGACACTGCTGTCTCTACGTGGGAAGCAAGCCTGCCCTTCAGCTCCAGCCAGATCACCTCTGCGGAGCCCCACCTCATCCACCTCTGACTTAGAGAATCCCTGGTCCCTTGACAAGCAAATAAACGTTGTGCTAAACAGCTACGGGCGCCTCAGGACCACCATACCGCGGCAGAGTGGGGAGGGCAAGCTGCTGGGGCAGTGTATGATCTGGGGGTTCAGAGAGGAGCCCCCACATGCTCAGGTGGTCAGTGGATGGCAGGAGGGAGGAAAGACCATGTGAGACGATGTGGGGTGTCCTGTGCACTGCATGGCAGCCAGGTCTGTCTGAGGCCCGGGGGTACAAGGAAGAGAGCCCCCAAAAGAAAGCTTTTTGAAATGAATCTTCAATTATGAAGTCGATTAAATGTTCTTTTATAAAAGACCAAAACCACAAAATGAATAAATAGAAACTTTCATCTGTAGTGACTGTGGAGTTGAGACCAGCCTGTCACCCCAGCCCTCAGGCAGGACTGAGAGCTCGCCGGCATCCGGGGCTGCACCGTGAGTTCCAGACCATTCTGACCTACAGCGGGAGACTATCTCTGAAAGGAGAAAGAGGAGAGGAGGCCATGCTTCTACGAGGCAAGTGAACTGAGCAGGACCAGGATGGACTGCAGCTGAGTGTGGTGGAGGAGCCCTGGAGCATGGTCCTGGGGGGACATGGAGTGCCCGCTCTGGATGCCCAAGGCAGTGAGGCCCCTCCTGGAAATGGGAAGACAGGCCCCGTGTGCCCTTTCCTTTTCTCTCCTTCCTAGTGTTTCTCTACGCAGTTCAGTGTATTTTTTCTGTTAGGAATTCTGAAAGCTCCCAGGACAAAACTCTCTTTTAGAGTTTTCCTCAAATTCAAATGATGGATTTCTCTCCTGACTTAAAGTCCTTTCTTGAAGACAGAGCACATAAATACATTGAGTTAACCATTTCAGTAAGGCAGCTCTCCTGTCAAATGCAGTCCCTGCGCTCAGCCAACACAGCGCACAGCCCTTCCTGTCTATCTGACCCACCCCTGCTCAGTGCCTTCATCAGGATTGTCCAGGAAGCAGCCTGAGGACAGAGTGTAAAACACAGGGACAAGAGTGGAGCTGCCGTCTCCCTGGGCAGCTCTCCAGCCAGGGCCCGAGGGCAGCTGTCTCACTCTCCAGGGGACATCTGGCACATTGCTTCTTCAGCAAGCGTGGGTAAAAGTCACCGCAGTGGACACAGAAAACGGAACACACATCAGAGAAGGAAAAGAGGGGACACTGGCATGAGGCTTAAAGCCTTTAGATCACTGGAAGGTAACTTCACCCAGCACCAGCCTGAATCCCCAGGATTCTGGGAGGCTGAAGGCAGGAAGGTCATAAGTTCCAGGCCCGGGCTACGCAATAAACCTGGTCTCCAAAAACCAAATACCAGTGCTAGGGAGACGACTGTTGGCAAAGAGCTTGCCTGCAAGCACGAGGACCCATGTAAACAGCTGTGCCCCAGCCAGGCCCTGCTGGAACACGTCTCCTTCGTGCCCACACCTCTGATGCTGTCTCCTTGGTTCCCCTGCTTGTTCCTGTGCCTGGTGCACACCCATCATGGTCTGGGTGGGCCTTCGAGACTCTCTCCCTGTTTAGTTTGTAAGGTAGAGCTGTACTTACTGCTAGTAACCTTAATGGAGAGTGGTTCCATTCCCCTGAGTTCCAGGCCAGGGCCCAGATCAGCCCAGTGTTCTTCCTTTAACCTTATACCACCCTCGGAGGTAGGGACTATAATTATCACTTCTTTGAAAAGAAAGGTCAAGTTCACTGGTATACCTCAAAAAATGGCAATGTGTGAAAGACAAGAGACGGGAGGCTCTGGGAGGCCTCCCCAGACAGTGGCCCTCACTGGCATGAGGCTTAAAGCCTTTAGATCACTGGAAGGTAACTTCACCCAGCACCAGCCTGAATCCCCAGGATTCTGGGAGGCTGAAGGCAGGAAGGTCATAAGTTCCAGGCCCGGGCTACGCAATAAACCTGGTCTCCAAAAACCAAATACCAGTGCTAGGGAGACGACTGTTGGCAAAGAGCTTGCCTGCAAGCACGAGGACCCATGTAAACAGCTGTGCCCCAGCCAGGCCCTGCTGGAACACGTCTCCTTCGTGCCCACACCTCTGATGCTGTCTCCTTGGTTCCCCTGCTTGTTCCTGTGCCTGGTGCACACCCATCATGGTCTGGGTGGGCCTTCGAGACTCTCTCCCTGTTTAGTTTGTAAGGTAGAGCTGTACTTACTGCTAGTAACCTTAATGGAGAGTGGTTCCATTCCCCTGAGTTCCAGGCCAGGGCCCAGATCAGCCCAGTGTTCTTCCTTTAACCTTATACCACCCTCGGAGGTAGGGACTATAATTATCACTTCTTTGAAAAGAAAGGTCAAGTTCACTGGTATACCTCAAAAAATGGCAATGTGTGAAAGACAAGAGACGGGAGGCTCTGGGAGGCCTCCCCAGACAGTGGCCCTGACTGTGACTGTGGTCACATAAGAGAACATCCTGAGTTTCAGGAAACACACACTCAAGTATTATAGGGTGGATAGGCTTTGTGCCCCCACCATTCAAATGGATTAGAAGAAAACTGGGTGCGTGTAGAAGACGAATGTGAAGGTGGGAATTGTCTCAAGTCTGGGCGTAGTGGCTTGCAGAACAGTGGTACTGGGAGCCCCCTCCCCCCATCCCTGGCAGTGGCCTCCACTCTCCCTCCAGCCACGCATTCACATGCTCACCTGAGAGGCCCCCGCCACACCCAGGCCATGTATTCAGATACACATCACGGTCAGGACACAGAGTGGGCCTGAGTAGCTGGTGCATCTTTCGAGAATGCAATGCTAGGGGATGCGGGAGATGGTGGGAGATGCAGAGGCCTTAATGGGCCTGGTTGGACCTGGACCAGGGGTTTGAGCACTAGTTTCATATCTTCCAAAGGCTCTTCTCATGGCTGCACCTTCCCCTCCTACCATCACCAGGCTGGCGTCGTAGAGCCAGGGTGGCCTCCTAGAGCCAGGGTGGCGTGAAGTCACGCGCTTCAGCCAATCTCCCCAGCAGAGGCTACCCTGTTCTGCTTCCTCTTACAGGTGCTCAGGAGCCATGGAGGGTGTCCCCTCCTCATTCCAAAGGCTCTTCTCATGGCTGCACCTTCCCCTCCTACCATCACCAGGCTGGCGTCGTAGAGCCAGGGTGGCCTCCTAGAGCCAGGGTGGCGTGAAGTCACGCGCTTCAGCCAATCTCCCCAGCAGAGGCTACCCTGATCTGCTTCCTCTTACAGGTGCTCAGGAGCCATGGAGGGTATCCCCTCCTCACCTTCCCGACCCTGATTGCAGCAGTGCAGACTGGATGAGCGCAAAGGTCCACCCTTGCACCGCATGTTCCTGTGAGAGCAAACTGCATAAGAGGAAGTGACCTGTGACCCCTCAGCCTCAAAGATTTTTGAGGTAAGGGGAGAGAGAGACAGAGACAGAGAGAGAGAGAGAGAGAGAGAGAGAGAGAGAGAGAGAGAGAGAGAGAAATACAAAATGACCCTGTCATCTAATTTCCCCCTAGGTCAGGTGTTGACAGGAGGCCACACAAAGCCACCAGTGGAGGTGATGAGCATTTGCAATATGCCGTTACCAGCACATTCTTACTGCTAAGGAGACAGCAATGAGCCAATTCAGAGACACTTGTCCCAGCTAACCCCAGCTCAGCAACTGAAAAGTAGTCTTTGTTTACTGCCGAACAGGCTATCAAAGGAGAGCCCTGTCTGGTTCCAAGAGCCTCACCATGCATCTGCACCTTACACCCCACTCGGCCTCTAGCAGAGCGTTCCTGAATTTGAACATCCAGGGTTCTGATGCAATGTTCTGTGGGTTTTAAGAAAGACTCCTAGAGACAAGCTTTAGATTACCTGACTTTTTGCATTTGTACCTAATGAGATTATAGACATTTGGAGATGAACAGCCGCAGCAGGGGCATCATGAAAAACTCAGTGCTGCTCCCCGAACAGGAGATGGAGGCTCCGAGACAAGCGCCCTTTACAGCTCCATCTCGTGCCTTCTGCATATCCCCTGCTCAGTCACAGTAAATCTCTCTTTACCATATTAAACTTTTATACATAAAAATCTACATCAGTGCCGCAGGCACGGATTTTGATTTTCAAAATTGAATTCTGGGTGGTGACAGCAATTGGTACAGCGGCCCCTATTCCAGTCACACAAGGGACACATAAGCACTTTTGGGAAAGGGTGCTGCAGACTGCTTTACTAATTAAGGTAGGGCTGGCACTGGTCCAGGCATATTTTCATGACTTGGTAATGAACTTCTGAGATGAGTCATTCTGCCATGGAGCATAAGCCTGTCAACGCAACTGGACATCTATCTTGAGCACCTACTACGGAGACTATTCTACTAGGGGACTGTGGGGGGACATAAAGGAGACCCAGCTCTGGCCTTGGAGAAGCTGCCAGTAGAGCTGAGGGGACAAGAGACACATCACTGAAAACCAGCCATGCCTCGGGGGTGTGGAACCAAACAACAGTTAGGGAATGTCAGTGTTGCAGAGCTCAGCCAGAGTGGTGGCCAGACAGGTGTGGCAGTAAGGCAGGTGTGCAATGGTACACACAGCAGCCACAGTCTCTAAACTCTGCCCCCAGCACAGGGATCGGGGAGGTGACTGGGAGGAAAACCCTGAGGAGGTTCAGGACAAGGTATTTCAGATGGGCAGGGATTTCAGGTGGAACCCAGGGAGGGTTTGACATTCCAAACCCACCAGATTCTTGGCATGTGGAGTGCAGCGGTTAGCAGTCACTGGAGTCGCAAAGGATAAGACACCATGCTGAGGATGGGCTCCTGTTCGGGTAGTGAGAGGCAAGGCTAGAGCTAACCGGGGATGGATCTGGATACCAGGACTGGCAGGCTTGGCTCTGGAGGCAGCAGGTCAATCCTAAAGATGTCCAAGGAAGTGGCGACCACTGAGGAGGTCACTCACCCTTTGAGAGGAACAGCACCACCTTTCCACGGGCACAGGTCAGCACAGCCCCTGCTCCAAACACCACTCACCCCACTCAATCCACTCCCACTGTGGAGACAGAGAAAATGAGGACGACCACAATCCCCCTTAAGATGACTTTCCTCACAACTCCTGTTTTGTGCAGCTTGAAGTTATACACAATACCATCTGTCCTCAGATCACTTCCCCAAATTCTGGCTTCAGTGGCAGAAGTTCACAAGCCACAGTGAGATGGCTTCCCTGTGGCCAGTATGTGCCAGGCAGCTGGGGGGGGCCTGCCACGTTGAGGTGCCAAGGACAAGGCCTTCACTGGAAGACTACAAGGCCTCGACTTCCCTCCCAAAAGGCGGCAGTATGATTTACCTCACTACAAACACAAAGTTTGACTTCTTTCTTTTGGGCCAATTATTTAACCCCGGATACAACACACTGGTCAGGGGTCATGCTAGGCAGGCAGGAAGGTCCTCCCAGGCCCCTTCCCAGAGCTGGGCTGTGCTGGCTAAGCAGGCCCGGGAGAGCTTTCAGAAAGCTGCTGGCGTGCCTAATGAACTCATTAGAAGGGTCTGCTCTCTGCTTGCAGTTAAGGCAGTTATTCGTTGTTCTGCCACCATCCCCCAAGCTGGGGTTCTTTTATGAACCTGTGCTGCAGGGAACACACATTCTTTTAAGGAAACTGCATTCAATGTAGATAAGACCCATAACCACGGACTACAAAATGGCACAACAGGACACAGGGCAAAAAGGTGTTCCGTGTGTTCCAGCTTCCCACCACTACCTCCTCTCCTGGTGTATTTAGGGTAGGCTGGAGGCTCCCCAAAGGGCAATGTGAGGTGGCACACATGGAGGCAATGGGTTTTGTGCTCTGGCTTGGGGGTCTGAATTATGAATCTGCCTTTGGTGAGCCTGGCTTTTCTACAGTGCTGTCCCACTGAGGACCATCTTTCTTCTTGGTGCACTGAGAGGGTAGTGATGGGCAAAGAAACACGGGTGGGCTAGCAGTGGGAGATGGTTAATTATCTGCCCCAACCACTGTAGTCCATAAAGCTTTGATTGGAGAATGGAGGGCATGACCCATGCTCACAAAGAGACAGACAAGCAGCAAGTCAAGGAACGGCAGCTGGGGAACGGCTGGCACCGAGGAGGTGATGCAGACCAGGGCTGTCTCTCACTGTCGGGGCATCTGCATAAGTGCTTTGACCTTCCAGATTTGGTTTTGGTGTAAGATGGGCATGGGAATGGCTACTGGTGGCACCAAGGATGGAATCAGATGTGTCACGTGTGCTGTGTATCTGACAATCCTTGGCAGGCTGCAAGAAGCCAAGAATCCAAGAGAAGGCTGGTCTCAACAAGGCTGCTTCCAGTGCCACCGCCCCCTCCAGCCCCACCTGCCTCACAAGTGGCAGAACGGTGTGGGGAGGAGGCATCCCAATCGGTCTGCCCCCAGATCTCATCCCGCCCCCTGCTGCCAGTTTAATAAAGAGTCTCCTGGAACCACCTTTCTCAAGGTCTTTTATAAGTGATCTGGGGGTGGTGGTGGGAGTGATTCACATACTGTTCCCAGTCCTGGTCAGGGGCTGCTCCCTCCAAAAATTATCACAAAGATTTACTAAGCCCAGGATCAATTTCAGGTGACACTGGATGAGCTATCACACAGACCCTGAGTAATGTGCCTGCTACCACCAGGACGCCCTGGCTCATTCTACCCAGAGCACATCCATCAACTGCGGCGGAACCACAGGCAGGGCCTGACTTGCATCTGCGGCTATGACTCAAGCTTGTGTGGGCCTCGGCTGATCAGGAGCTGCGTCCCTAGGTGATGACAGAGGATGACAACTCCCAAAGAGAAAGCCCTCCCCTCCTGGTGCTGCTGACAGTCAAGCAGCTCAGTGTCACTCTCTCATCTTCTGAGTGTCTAGTCTTGGGCTGCCCAAGTCTAAACTCCTTGACACTGAGGACCAGATACTGGCCCTTGTCCATAGTGCCTGCTGTTCCCCACAAACAACGTTCCAAATCAAAGAACACCATTTGGGATACAGATGTATGCCCTGTCACTTGCCACCACTTCTACTTCTGCTATATCTGCAACTATAATGGAGACGACTTGCCTCACAAGCCATAACCAATCATTTGTTTATTCAGACATCTACTGGGCACTTTCTGTGCACCAAGAACTACATTAGACCTTGTGGGTGGGTATGGGGGTGCCATCTTTACTCTCAGGAAGCTCAGTAGGGAGCACAGCCCTAGGAACCCCACAGGGTTTGCAGATTGAGACCAGAATGAATCTCACCATCTTTTATGCTGTGGGTCAGTGAAGACCACTATACACGAGGTGAGGACCTCAGCTGTAGACTCCCAGAAGTCCTGAGCCAGGACATGCCATCCATGCCACAATCGGCAGTCTAGTCACTGGCGTGCTCTTGCTCTGAGGTGGGCTGTTTGGGCTCTGTGCTGGGATAAGCTAAAAGATCCTGCTTTGGCAGGACTTGGTCAAACTTCACAAATCATTTCTTCAGGTTGTATGCGGGCTGTGTACCTCACTTGACACCTCTGACCTCTTGCGGAAGCCCCATGCTCAAATACCACCCCCCGCAACCTGACATTTCTACTTGGAAGCCAGTATGCTTGGCATCTCAAGTTTAAAGTGTCTAACGTCAAACCTGCAACATTCTTCCCACACCCCACCTGGTCCTGTCTAGTCTCTCCCATCTGAGTAAATAGCATCCAGCTGCTCAGGCCAAAAAAAGAAAAGGGGGTGGGGGGAATCTAGGTGCCACCCTTGGTTCTTCTTCCCCTTTACTCCACATCCAGTACATCCACACTGTTAACATGACCTACACATTACTACTTGAATCCAGTGACTTCCAACTTCTGGGCTGCCAGCCTCACCCAAACCACCATCTCTTGCCTGGAGTACCACAGCGAGCTTCTCTCCAGCCCCATTCTCCTTGTTCTCTGTAATGCATGCACCACAAAGCACCAGTGACCTTTTCAAATTAGGTCACACCAGTCCCCCAGGACTAAATGTGCCCAGTGGCTTCTCACTGACCTTATGATAAGTAAGAGCTAACTCTAATCAGAGCCTTTAAGACTGCTCTGTGTACTCTAAGTAAAAACTGAGTAAATCTTTATGCTGGGCATTGTGGCGCACGCCTTTAATCCCAGCACTAGGGAGGCAAAGGCAGGTGGATCTCTGAGATTGAACCCAGTCTGAGTCAGGGATACACTGCCTTTAAAATATATATATATATAAAATATGGGGCCTAGTTCCTGCCCTCCTAGGGGGCTTCAGATCTTAAGAAATCGGCACCCTAGCCGGGTGTGGTAGCACATGCCTTTGGTCCCAACACGCGGGAGACAGAGGCAGGCAGATCTCTGCTGAGTTTAATGCCAGCCTGGTCTACATTGACCAGGCCAGCTGGGGCTATAGGGAGACCCTGTCTTAAAAAAAGAAAAGAAATCGGCACCCCACTCACTACTCTACATTCTGGCTTGCTTTCTGGTAGCTAACAGGCCGGTCTCATTTTCCTCTGCAGTGCAGGACCTGCCCTTCCCAGGTGCATCTCGTTCACCGTCCTTTTCCCTCCGGGTCTCACCTGTGCGTGACTTCCTCCGGAAAGCCCAAGTTACCGAACCAATACTACCTTTTATCATGATCAAAGAACTTACCCGGACCATTTTATGTCTGTGTTCTTGTTCCCTGAACGAGAACGAAAAGCCACAAGGGCAAGGCCTCACCGAATTCAAGGCTGTGTCCTCCCTAGAACCTAACATCGCACAGCTCCAGGCACATGGCCAGTGCTGGATGGAGGAAACCAATGCCAGAGAAGGCTCCCAACTCAGACAAGGGGCCTGGGTGGAGGCCCCACACCTGCTGCACAGGTATACAGAGGGTCAGAGTAAGATACAAAAGTAGGTTCTTGGGGATCAGCTCGGCTCACCGACACCCCACTAACCATGGTACGGAAGACACACGCCTGTCGCTGTTCACATCTGTGGTTCAACCCTGCATCTCCTGGAGGAATTTTTTAACCAACACCAGCCAAACCTTCACCCCTGGTATTTGGGCCTCCCAGGGGCACCTGGACCTCAGGGATGCTTCTCTGGTCATTGCACGGGGCAGACAGGTGAGAAGCCCGAACAGAGAGGGGGAGCTTCGCACTGCCAGGCGGGCTCGCTGGAAACTGGGGACCGCGCACACGTGTCGGCGGCTGTAACGGAGGCCCGCGCATGCGCAGAACTGCCGCCCCGCCTGGGCCTCTCCGCCCCTCGCTCCGACGCCCCCCCAACCGCCTCCCGTCCGGTCACCTGGGTGTTCTCTCCCTCCCGAAAGGCCTGCGCTACCCGCTGCCGCAGGTAAGAGCCCAAGTCCCGGCCCCGTTTGGTCTCGTCCACGGGCCATTCCTCACAGAGTTTAAGGAAACGACGGTAGCGACTGGCCGCCATCTTGGGCCCCGCTTAGCCCCGCCACTTGGTGGAGTCTAGGCGGCCGGACGGCGCCTGCGCATTAAGGCGCACCGCTTGGGCATGCGCAGTGTGGCCGTCGCGCTGCTGGCCTCCAGGCAGGGGCGCTGCTCGCTAGTCTCTGCAAGCCGAGCCCAGCGTCTTGCAACTCGCCCAGCTCCCAGGGGCAGAGCAGACGCGGGATACCCCAGGGACAGCTTTGCTTTTCCAACGACTGCACAAGCTCCAGACGGAAAAAAAAATCCTCTTCTGAGACCTCTGCCGTTTTGCATAAGAGAAACATTTACATGTAAATACAGGTTGTTATTGGATCAAGATGTGATGAACTTAATCTCTTAGCTGGCGCGCACGTGTATATACACACACACTCTGCCTTGTATGTGATCTCTCCCCTCCCACTTGGACCTCTGCCACAGTTCCTTTTCCTTTTTGTTTTGTTCTTGTTTTTCTATTTTTCTTTTTAAAAATAATTTATTGAAAATTTCATACAGACATAGAAGCATATAAGGTATTTTGATCAAATCCATGCCCACTTCCTCCCCTCAACTCCTCCCATATCTCCCTATCACTTTTTTCTGATAACTTAATGTGTTTTCTCTTTTTTTAAATGGAGCTTTTTGCTACTCTAACAGTCCCCCCCACTCTAAAGAGGTGACCCTAAAATCTTTTAAGGACTAGATAAGCGCTCCCAAATACTTTTTGACATTTTTGGGCTTTGGAACAGAGTATGGCGCTAAGAGGCCCAAGGACATTTTGACATTTAGCCAAGAAACTGGCTACTTTTCTTTGGGGTCTTTTTACACTAACTGCCTAGCCAATTCCTACCCCCTATTCTTATCACACCATTCTCTGAAGAGGTTACCCAACTTGGGGATAGGGAATCAGGCGCAGTCGGCTCTGGCTTCTTCCATGCTGAACAGAGACGCAGGGTGAGGCAATTGGGGTACCCCTTGGACAGTGGATCTATCTAAAAGACTCCCAAATTGTATAACTTTTATCTGTAGGGGGAAAAGAAAGTCCTTGACTGGTGAATAGGAGATATGAAGGAGAAGTAAAGACAAGAGTGATTAGCATTACAAGTTCTAGACAGGGAACTAGAAAAAACACAATTTTCAAATGTTCATTGGAATTTCTTGACGAGAGCGTCCAAAAGCATCCCTCTATTGGGTTCCTCCTCGTTTTTCTTTTGTCTGCCAAGGCTGGACTCTAGAGTGATGGTTTCAGGATTTGCTTTCGGGCATTTTGATAGTACCACGTGGAGGCAGGATCTGGGCACTCTCAGGCAGCCCCCTGCATTCTGAGCCCCTATGCTAGAGGGAGGCTGGAATGGGCACTCTCTAGTGGTCTGCTGAGATCACAGCCTCTACACAGATGGAGGTTGGAACCTGCCCTTTCAGACTGTCTGCTAGGATCTCAGCCTTATCATACCCCATAGTTCCTTTCTTTCTTCTTCTTATTTTTATTTTATGTGTATTCATGTATTGCCTGCATGTAGGTAAGTGCACCTGTGTCGTATAATGCCCGTGGAAGACAGAAGAGACTGTCGGATCCCCTAGAACTGGAGTTACGGACAGTTAGCTGCTATGTGGGTGCTGGGATTCGAACCCGGGTCTTCTGCAAGAACAACCAGTGTTCTTAACTGCTGAGCCATCTCTCCAGCCCATCTTTATTGTTTTTATTTTTTGTGTATGAGTGCATTGTTTGCATATATGTAAGTGCACCTGTGTTGTGTAATGCCTGCAGAGGTCAGAAGAAGGCTTCGGATCCCCTGGAACTGGTTGTGAGTGCCGTGTGGGTGCTGGGATTTGAACCTGGGTCCTCTGCAAGAGTAGCCAGTGCTCTTAACCGCCGAGCAGTCTCTCCAGCCCCCAGAGTTCCTTGTTTGACACTCCTCAACTCCCCATGCATAGGTTTCCTAAGCTATGCTAAGTGCTTTTTGGAGTTGTTTCTGTTTTTTTAATTTGAGACAGGGTCTCACTATATAGCCCTGACTGTTCTGAAACAATATGTAGAACAGGCTGGCGTTAAACTCACAGAGCTGCATCTGTCTTGGCCTCTGCCTCCTGGGTACTGAGATTAAATGTGTGCTCTACCACACCTAGCCTAAAAGGATTTCTTTTATTGTGGCAAAATACAACATAAAAACTGGGTATGGGGGCTGGAGAGATGGCTCAGTGGTTAAGAACACTGATTGTTCTTGCAGAAGACCCGGGTTCAAATCCCAGAGCCCTCATGGCAGCTAACAACTATCCATAACTCCTGTTCCAGGTGATCCAATAGCCTCTTCTGTCCTCCTCGGGCATTGCCACGACACCAGTGCAGGTAATACACGCATACACAAAAAATGAAATAAAATTAAAATTATATAAAAAAAACAACTGAGTATGGTGGGACAGGCCTTTAATCCCAGTGGTTGGGAGGCAGAGGCAGGTGGATCTCTGTGAGACTGAGAACAACCTGGTCTACATAGTGAGTTCTAGGCCAGCCGGGGCTACAGGGAGACCCTGTCTCAAAAACTCCCAACAAACAAAGCCCATAAAATATATATTAAGTACTTTGTGCTTTGTTTTGAGACAGTGTCCTGCCTATATAGCCTATGTTGGCCTTGACCTTGAGGCCCTCCCGCCCCAGCCTCCCAGGATTACAGGCGTGCACTACCATCATACCTGGCCCATTTTAAGCATTTTCCAAGTGCTCAGCTTAGTGGTATTAAATATATTCATAACTAGCATGTCATCCATTTCCATGACTTTTAAAAAATTTGGCAACACTGAAACTCTCTATGTACTGCAACTCCCTTCCCCACTAGGATTCTATTTTTTGTCTCTATGATTTTCACCTCTCTATGTACCTCATGTAAATGGAATTGCACAGCATTTCTTCCTGTGACTGGATTATTTCACTGGGTACAATGTCCTCAAGGTTCATCATGTCTTGGTAAATGTCAGGACTTCCTTAAGGTGGAATAATATTCCCCTACAGGTTTATATACCGTATGTTGCTTATTCATTCATCTGGCCGTAGATACCTGTTTGTGTCTGTGTTTTAGCACTTGGGAATCACGCTGCTGTGAACATGGATGTACAGATATCTTTTTGGTCTGTTTTCACTTTTTGCTCCCAGTGCTGGAGACTGAACGACGTCTTTGTGTATCTGGGAAAACTCTTCTTGTGCTATACTCCTAGCCTTTGCTCCATTTAAGGATGTAACTAAAAGTGGAATTGTCCTGTACCTCTATTTTTAGTGGGGTTTTTTGTTTGGTCCTTTGAGACAGGGTCTCCCCCTAGCCCCAGCTTGCCTGGAACGCTCTGTGTAGCCCAGGCTGGCCTTGAACTCACAGAGATCCGCCTTCCTCTGCCTCCAGAGTGCTGGGATTAAAGGTGTGAACCACCACACCCAGCTAGTATTTTTTTTTTCTTTCTTTCTTTTTAATTGCACTTGGGCACAAGCACATGAGGTTAGAGACAATTTGCAGTCAGTTCTTCCTTCTACCACGTGGATTCCAGGGATCAAACTTACATCATAAATTCGTTGGCAACACCTTTACCATAGACCCATCTTGCCATTTCCCCGTTTTGTTGCTTGTTTCTTTTTGAGACAGGGTATCCCTGAATCCCCAGCTGGCCTGAAACTCATGTATAGACCAGGCTAGCCTCAGTCTCAGAGATTTGCCTGCCTCTGCTGGGATTCAAGGCATGCACCACCATGCCTAGTCCATTTTTGTTTTCATTTACTTGTTTGATGAAACTTTTATTCCACGAGCCATGCAGCTCACTGTTTTACATTGCTGTTGCCCATGCACCAGGTTCTAGTTTCTGTGGGTCCTTACCAATAGTTTAGTAACCTCGTGGTGGGTATGAGATAAACTAATTTTTGTTTGTATTTCTCTGATGATTAATGATGCTGAATATGGTTTCCTGTGCTTACTGGCCATTTGTACAACTTCTTTGGAGAATTGTCTATTCAAGTCCTTTGTTTATTTTTGAATTGTATGTTTTGTTGTTATGGAATTTTAAGAGTACTTCATATATTCTGGATATTAATACCTTATCAGATATATGATTTTCAAATATTTTCTATTAAGATTTGTCTTATTGCTGGGCGTGGTGGTGCATGCTTTTAATCCCAGCACTCAGGAGGCAGAGGCAGGCAGATCTCCGTGAGTTCAAGGCCAGCCTGGTCTACATAGCTAGTTCCAGGCTAGCTGGGGCTACAGGGAAACCTTGTCTCAAAAAGATTAAAAAAAAAAAAGATTGTTAACCTAAATGTGGAGGTGAATATCTGTAAACACAGCATTTGGGAGGTGGAGGGTAGGAGGGTCAGGAATTCAAAGTCATCCCCCTTTGCCACATAGCAAGTTTGAGGCCAGCCTTTTCAAAAAAACCAGACGAACAAGAGCACTATCTGCTCTTCCAGAGGACCTGGGTTTGGTTCCCAGCGCCCATATGATGGATAAAAACCATCTATAACTCTAGTTCCAGGGGATTCATTGCCCTCTTCTGACCTCCTCGGACATTGCATGACATGGGTGCACTTACATACATGCAGGCAATACACATAAAATAAAAATGAATAAAGTATAAAATAATAAAAACAACAAAAACTGAGTGGTCCCAGATAGATGTGGTGACACACACTTGTGATTCCAACACTTGGAGCTGGGAAGCAGAGGCAGGAGGATCTCAGTTTGAGGTTAGCCTGGACTATAGAGTAGGTTCCAGGCTAACCTGGGATACATTTCAGGATCTTGTCTCAAAAAACAAAAACAAGGGCTGGAGAGATGGCTCAGTGGTTGAGAGTGCTTGTTCCTCTTACAGAGGACACAAATTTAGTTCCCAGAACCCATGTTGGGTGGCTTACAACTCCAGCTCCTCCAAGGGATCTGATACCCTCTTCTGGCCTCCAAGGGCATCAAATAAAAAGCAAATATTTTTTTCAAAGACATGAAAGGGTAGTTCCATAAGCTCATATTGCCTAGCGACACGGTACCCATCTTAGTGTGAGCTCTGTGATGTTCAAATGACAAGA